CGACAGGCTTATGCCAAAGGTGGTCTTACGTCGCCCTGGTCAACATAAGAATGTTGTTTGTCGCTTCAAAGATATCGTTTGTAACGTAGGCCTTGTCCGATACATCATGGCTGAAAATTATTACACAGTCATATAGCATCACATTTTCAGGGAATTGCTATACTCGAAGATGGGGAATGCGAGTAACTTTTAAGAAATACAGAAATAAAAATAAAAATGAAAATAAACATGGACAAAATGACGTGCATGAATCTCAAACGTCTGGTTGAGAATAGAAAAATCGTGACACGAGAATCGATAAACAAATCTGCAATCAACACTTGTTGAATAATTCACCAAAGTTGTTGGCCAGCAGCAATTCTTTTAATGGTCAACAAAGTTGCTTACAACAAACAACAATTCCGCCATTAGTGCTGACTCAATGAGGCCCCACCAAATGTTCAATTTTATTCTTTATTTTATTTTCGAGTTCCCCTTACATTTATCTATTACTATTTAAATTTTGACATTGATTAATTCCAATTTGATCGAGAATTATATCATTGAAAATAGTGCAATGATTTTGAACTTACTTGTGCGTGACTGTATTCTTAAGTGATCCTTTTAATTTGATCAAAAATAAAAGCAGCTAATTGTTTGAACGTGGGACTTTTAGGGACGCAACTTTGCAATTATTTCAGAAAGCACTAATATATATAAGAAAAATAGCCTATAGTGAGATACCATTAAAATTGTTTCTGGGTTGCACCGACAGTAATAGTTATTACAAAAACAAAGTGGATGCTCCGAATTAGAAAAGACGGGATTTCAATTATAAATCATGCAAACATAAATTTTCAGTGACATATTTAATAGTGCTTTTTTCACATTAAAAGAATACGAGAACTCCTATTTAACTAGACGTGAAAATTTTTATCATCACTAAAGGAGAAGCTAAACTCGTTAAGATGCAAGACGAAACAAGTAGCAGCACCATGGAGCAGCCTGCTGCTGATAAGAATACACAGTATATGTACATATATGCACCCAAACATAGCAACTCAAGAGAAAATAGCATGGTAAAAAAACAGAACTGTTGCTTCTTCAAGCATATATATCTTAATATATAGGTCTTACGATACTTGAAAAAATATGAAAGTTCAATTATAGGCATGATTAGTGTAAGGTACACGTAATTTGTTTTTACAATGGCTGAACAAAACTTGTTCGTTTATGTTCACAAAACATCAGTTTTGATACGAACCATTGTATTGAAGTCACTTTATTTTTAGTAAAAAAAAAAGAGATACCCTGATAAATAAACGTATGCTTAATATTTAAAGCAGTAACGTTTATGAGCTTATTTGCGTTTCAAACCCAATGGCATAGACTTAAGAAGTCATAACCTACATAAACGTTGATTAAATTACAATTTATCTTTATCGTATTATATGCAACTATGCCTCATATATTCAAATATCAGATTGAACACTAATTAGCATACGCATGTAGGTCTGATTATAAGTGGAACTATTTAATTTTATGCAGAAATTCTCATTACGCCACATTTATAAAAGTCAGTCACCAATTATAGATTCTGAAACATGACACTAAGTTCTAGATGCTTCCTGCATGCAAGTAGTAATAGCTGTTATTACTGTTTAGTACAAAATGTTTATTTCAACAGTCGGAAACCAAGCTTAAGGCCATGACTATTTGACTATAATCCTCCTTTTTTTGACACGGTTGTTATTAATTTTATCCAAAATTAGTATTGTATGATGGAGGAGCCCATTATTTATTGTGGAAGGCTTGATTACGCGATGTTTATCGAGTAGTTGCGTAAAAAAAAAATGTCGCGTGTCACAACCACCGCGTTGTTGTCAATTAGATCAAAATCTGATCTCTTTTTTTTTTTTTTTTTTTTTTGTATCTCTCTTTCCTTTCTTTATTAAAAAAAATGCAGTGTATGTTGGCACTTAATCCAGCTTGATATAATACTCACTTGTGATACTATAGTTAATGGACAAAATAATATGGGATGGGGGACGGCTCCTCAGCGTAAGTGACATAAATTCACATGAAACCAAGCATTCATCTTTTCTTCTTTTTCTAGAGGAAACAAAGCCTCCCTTAAGCATTCATCATATTAGGTTGTATGACTTGGTAAATGACTCAGAAATGGCAGAGAAGTCTGATCCGAATCCATCGACAAGTGCGTCTGTTTTTACTTTTTCTCTCTTTTTGTTATATGTTTGAATGATTAATCCATCCTTTTCTTTCTAAAAAAAAAACAAAATATGATAGGTATACAAAGTAGTACGAATCCACATCAATGTGTCTTCGATCAAAGACCATCTTTCGAAAGCAAATTTGGTATAGAATCTTACATAATACAGTGTAAATAGAATCACATGAAAATTTATTGAATATGTAGATACAGAAAAAATGCGCCAATTCGAAATGGAGATTGGAAATTCATTTTCTGGTACGTGATTTAAAACGACTTTCTTATCTTTGGTTTTTTACAATTTCAACTTTTAAGCATCTGGCTCTAAACCATCTTCTTCTGAGGCTCTTACTCCTACTGTTACTCCTGCTGTCCTCTCTAATGTGAATTATAGTAAGTGAGATTGTTATACGAGCAACTGAATCTTTACTAAAAACCTTCTCATAAATGTACAGAGGAAGAGAAAGGTTTTGATTAATTTAACTTATAAATAAATCAAATTCTGATATATATCTTGTAGAGGCACCGATATATGAGAGATCTTTCCATGTTAAACTTTTCGGGGCAGACAATGAAGAAGCGCCAGTCGTTCGTGCCTTTGAACAAATAAAGGGAATGTAAGTCAAAGCGTCACAAAGTAATAAACTGAGAATTAATTAAATGATCATTCTACTAGGCACCCCGATATCTTGAAATCACTTTATTCTATGCACTTTACTAAACCCTCCAATATCCAAAGTCAAGCTATTCCATTGATTCTGGCAGAGCCGCAAGTAAAAAATGGAGAAAAACAATAACCAAAAAAATTAACGCATGTGATTTAGATTCCGAAATTTGATTGCTCAATCCCAGAGTGGTACAGGCAAAACTGCAGCATTTGCTATCGCTTCCTTATTGCGCATCGATCCCAATTTGAATCATACACAAGTTATTTGTATCACTCCTTCTCGGGAATTATCACGTCAAATTCGATATGTAATTTCTGAAATCTCGCAATTCACGAACCATACGTCGACCTTACTCGTGAAGGACGTGTTCAAGAACAAAAATGACCCGAATTACCGTTCTCCTCATAAGTTCTTAACAGATCATATCGTTGTCGGTACACCTGGTATTATTCTTGACACTTTAAGAAGAAAAAAGGTCATTGATACTACGCATATCAAGCTATTTATTCTGGATGAAGCAGATAATATGCTTGATCAAGATGGCTTAGGTGATCAAAGCATCCGTATTAAAAAGTAAGTTTATTTTATTTCGTAAACATACAAATAGTTAACTCCATCCTGTGTGTGTGTGTGTGTGTGTGTAGCTTAATTAGTGGTGATCCTCAGATCCTGTTGTTTTCTGCTACATTTCCAGATCATGTTTACCAATTTGCTCATCGCTTTGCACCTAATCCTAACGAAATCACCCTTCGAGTAGAAGAGCTTAGTGTATCTGCCATTAAACAATTCTATATGGACTGTCATGACGAAGATCACAAATACAGCGTACTTACCAGTCTTTATGATTTCCTTACACTCAGTCAAACTATGATCTTTTGTAAGCGTCGAGACACAGCGGATGAGATTACATTGCGTATGAAGAATCTGGGACACTCTGTGGGCTGTATTCATGGTAGCATGACGTCTGTTGAGCGTGATGCGATCATTCATGATTTCCGCTGTATGAAATTTAAAGTATTAATTTCTACTAATCTGGTCTCTCGTGGTATTGATATTAGTCAGGTCAGTCTTGTTGTTAATTATGATATGCCTTTGAACAAGCAAGGACACCCAGATGCCGAAGTCTACCTTCATCGTATTGGAAGAACAGGAAGGTTTGGTCGCACTGGTCTTAGCATCGTATTCGTTCACGATCAAAAGACATACGATGATGTCAAGTACCTTGAGCACCACTTCAAAGTTAAAATCAGACGTATTCCGACAGAGGACTGGTTAGTTGTTGAAAAGATCTTTAAAGAATACATTTAAAATGCATTATAATAATGTATTGCGCGTCACAACGACTCAAATAATTAAAGCACTCAAAAAAAAAAAAAAAAAAATTACTCGTTTTTCTTTTTCCTTTTCTTATCAAATTAAATAAATGGCTATTATTAACGAAGTTAATGAGGATAAGCCTCGTAAAGAAGTTGTTGTTTCCATGCAACCTCAAAGTGACGGAGAAGAGTCGGATGTAGAAGAAAATGTCGAGGAGAGTAACGAAGAAGGTATAAACGTGAAGTCTAAATGACGGTAGTCCTTTTTTTTTTATAAACGTGTATACATAGGTCTCTTAGATGACTATCCCATTGACTCGGAGGTAATTAGCTAAAACTAGACTTGCGCAGTAGCTATTAACACACAATCACATAATATAGGAAATTGATGTTATTCACATGCGTGTCAGTAATATTCCTAATCTCGGGCTAGAACGATTCAAGCAAGTGCAGGTGAAGATGAAGTCAGACAAGCAGATGAATGTAGTAGTTTTTAACATGTGTATTTAGAGTCTTTGCTTCCGTCAAAACTTTATTATTGATATTGAAGGCCTTGATGGTTTAGCCCCCACCTTGAAAGAGCTTGATTTTTACGACAACAAAATTTCACATATGCGTGGATTAAACAATCTAGTCAATTTGGAGTTAGTGCTATTTCCACCTGGAAATTTCAACATGGAAAAAATTAACACCCTTTTTTTTTGTAGGTCACTTGATCTCTCTTTCAACAAGATTAAACATATCAAAAATATCGATCAACTTACACACCTTGAAAACCTTTATTTTGTCAGCAACAAGATTTCCAAGATTGAAAACTTAAATACACTTGTCAATATTACGAATCTTGAATTAGGAGCGAACCGTATCCGTGTGATTGAGAATTTGGATAGCTTGGTAAATTTAACGCAGTTATGGCTTGGTAAGAACAAGATTACCAAATTGGAGGTAGGTGACTCTTTTTGTGTTCAAATGAGTATATCTAATCTGTTGCGGGTAATAATAGAACCTCGGAGGACTCAAGAATTTAAAATCGCTCAGTATTCAAAGTAATCGATTAACAAAGATCGAAGGATTAGAGGAATTGCATAACTTGGAAGAGATTTATATGAGTCACAATGCGATTGAGAAGATTGAAGGATTCGAACATAATCTCAAGCTGAACACGATTGATATTGCCAATAATTTGATCACCCGTATCGAGAACTTGTCACATTTACCTAAATTGGAAGAATTTTGGGCAAATAATAACCAGTTTGATAACGATTGTTATGATCAAATTGAAAAGGAATTGGGAACTATTAAGACTTTAGAAACAGTTTATTTGGAGGGCAATCCTATGCATCTCAAGAACAGAGCTACTTATCGTAACAAGATAAAGCTTTCTTTACCCAACATTAAGCAGATCGATGCAACGTAAGAATCTCAACCTGTCTTTACAAACATCCATACTAATCCTTTCTTTCTCCAAATACATGAACACCATATAGACCTGTAAAATAAATTTCACCCCTTCTCCAAAATTTTAGTGGCTTATTTAAAGCTATTTGGGCTCTCTTTTTTTTTTTTTTTGGGCTTTTTTTTCCCTCTCTTTCTTGTGCAATAATAATAAAATAATAAATGTTGGAAACAAATAAACCATACATGTTTGGTTCTTCGACAACAACAACAACGGCTACTACAGCACCTGTCAGTAGTCAAAGCAATACGAATAACCACTTGCCTGGTCTTCAACAACATCATCACAATAACTTTTATTATACCGGTGGTGGGAATAACAACAGACAAGAGGAAGAAAGCACGGAAGGAGAACATTATACCTCTTATCATCATGGACAACCTGCCAGACTTAATTCAGCCTTTGGCCGTCATCTGGAAGCTAATTATACATACAAGGAGAATACGACTTCCTTTACTAGACCTATAGTTTATTCCTCGCCCATTGTTAAAAGAGAGGAAGCCAGTCTAATAATGCCACCTACAAAACCACCAGTGCCTTTAGACGAACCTGCTGAAAGTAGCTGGTTTGAGAATTCAACACTGGCTCATTCAGATGGTTTATATGCTGATTCAAGCGATGGCAAAAGAATAAAGAGACGAAAGGAAATGACTAGTAAAATGGAAAAGTTGAACTCGGATTTTTTGGATAAGAAAGAAGGGTAAAGAAAAAAAGAAAATAAACAGTAGAAAATAAACACACCCAACTGATGGGAAAGCGTGTCCCCCTTGATAGATTGTACACAGAGAATTTGGTTCTGATAAATACAGAATTGAAGGAAGCACATGGAGGTAATATAAGAGTGAAAAATCTAGCTATCATGTCCCAACTCGTCATTATTTATTTTGTAGACACGCATTATCAATACGTAGAGGGGTTAAGGAATTTAGAAGGTTCACGACAGAAAATGATTGACGACGGTCGATTATTTAAAGAATACCAGAAACAAGTGACAGATAAACAATTTCAACTAGAAATATACCAAGCTCAAGAAGAATACACCGTAATTATCTTTTTTTTTTGTTTTGTATATTTACTCTGACTAAGCATTCCCTCTTAGGCTGAAACACAAGAAATAAGAGAAAAGTTATTTACAATTTTGGAAGAGAAAAGACGTAAATTAAAAGAGGACAAAGACAATTGTGACTTAGCATACGGTATTTCTTATTCTTACCACTCAACTCTGCATTGTCATTAATCCCACTCTTTTCATGAAGACGTAGTTTTGGAATCCCAATCTAGATTACACAAACGTAATCTACGTAAACGAGGTCCTGAGAATGCAGACAACAAAGCAAGCAAGCGAAAGCAAATGAATGATATCCTTTTTTTTGTTTTTATCTTTTAACTCTCTTTCATATTTTACTTTTAAAAATGTCCTTAACAACCTTTCCTTTTTTTTTTTTTTATTACGGCCGGCGCTTATATTTAGATTAAAAGATGAAGATATACATTCTGATATGCAAGCGATGAGAAGCGTAAGTTGATTTTGTGCGGATAAAGAAAATGTGAAATTTAAACCTTATTTATAGGGATTATCCACTCCCTCACTAAAAAAAGCGGTGCCAATTACAAAGAAAAAATGAATGCTGTGTTACACTTTTTTAATAAATTTTTTGTTGTTGTTGTTGTTGTTGCTATTCTGCTCAATGACATTTCGTTCGAAAACTGATGGCTTGTTGAATGTACCCTTCTGCTTCCAAGAGACCATTGTCAAGTGATTTTTGTAGATATTGAATTGCAAGGTCATAATTCTTTTCAACCACCAGTCCCTTCATGTACATCCGACCTAGCAACAGTTGTCCACGGCCACTATTTTCCGTGGCGGCCTTTAAATACCATTGGTATGCGCGCTTATTGTTCTTCTTGACACCATAGCCACACTCATAAATCAAGCCGATACCCGCTGAACCATCACCGCATCCCACTTTCACCGCTTCCATGTAGTACCTCATTGCCTTTTTATAATCACGTTGTAACACACCCTCTACACCGCTTGCATGAATATCTCCCAGCATATTGTAGGATCGTCCATGATCTGCACATTCTAATATGGTCTCACAGTATCCTTTTGCCTTGATATAGTCTTTTTCCACTCCCATACCACAATAGTAAAACTCGGCCATTTTGAAAATTGCTTCAACCTTTCCGTTCTTACTAGCTCGACTGTACCACAAAAAGGCGCCATTCAAATTTTGTTTGCATTGGTAAAGATAACCCATAAAAAACTGCGCATTGGCATTACCACTTTTGGCGGCCTTTTCAAGCCAAATTTCTGCCTTGACATAATCCTTTTTCAACCTCCCCTGACCAAACAAGTAAAGTTCTCCAACCAATGATCTGACCAACACGTGGTTCTGTTGCTCTTCACACATGCTATACCAGAAATGCGTCTTGTAAAAGTTTTGCTTTGTAAGGAATCGTTTATCGTATGATTTAGCAGTATGTAACGGTGAAGGACTTCCATTCTTCTTATTTATCGCTTCAGAAAGTCGATACAAGAACACTTGCTTACTGTCATTCACAATCTTAAATTCCTTGTTCCCAAACAGGTACAAATCTTGGCTTGTCTTTGACTGAAGTGACCGTTTATACCAGTAAAGCGCCTTTGTGTGGTCTTTTTTAGCATACACGCCGCGATGATAAATTAATCCCAGGTTGACTTGTGCATCGTTCCATCCTCCATTTGCTGACAATGTTAGCCAATGAATTGCTGATTCTGTGCACTGTCGTATTCCATCATCTCCGTCTCGATACATCATACCCACGTAATATTGTCCTACCCGATTCTTCCACACTGTCGCTGCTCTCTTGAACAGGAGCATGGCTTTCTTGACGTTTCTGTCGACATCAAATCCCATATAATAAATGGAGGCTGTTAATAGTTGAGCGCATTCGTTATCTCGTTTTGATGCTTGCTCCAGATATTGAAGAGCGCTTTTGTAATCCCCTTGGTTGATAAGATCAATCCCTTTAAAAAGACTAGAGTTTCCAGGCTTTGAATTGCCTATCGGAGTGTTACATCTTTGTTGTTTTGATTATAATTATAGGACACTTACCAGACTTGTTGTAGGTAATTTCCATCGCTTTTTAGAAGAAGAAGAAGAAAATAAAAGAGTAAGAGAAAAGAGGAGTGATAAAGAAAAATTTAAAAAAAATAAATACAAAAACAAATCCCATCCCTCTTTTTCTTCCCCCCTCACTAGTTGTGATACAATGTACTTTTTTTGTCAATTATTATATAATCCACACTTACTTGTTGTAGCTTGATGACATTTACACTGCTATACATCCTTAATTTTGTTCCTGTACTGACTAAACGTGATATGATTGTAAATGGTTTCTTTTATGGTTGTTGTTGTTTCTTGATGATGCATGCAATTTTTTTTTATTTAATTTCATTGTAATTTATCAAGTGTCAATTACGTTTAAGGGATGGAGGCGACTTTGTTGTGTCCCTGGATTAGTTTTTTATGATGAAACAATGAAAATTTATTGTTTTATTTTTAAATATTATCATAAAGAGCATCCAGGAGTCGTTTACCCACGGTAGGTTCAATAATACAACAATCGCCTGATCTGTCGACAGGATATTTATAGAACCAAGGATTAACAAGTTGACTTGCATATCTTGCAGTTCTTACCCCACTATAACCCGAATGTATCAGCAAATCAAATTTTATGTTATTTACTAAGAATAGTTTGACGTTACATGTTTTTCCATTCTAGCCTACATAGATTTTTCCAATTTTTTCTGTTAATAATTTCTGCCCATCCTACAAAGTCATCATCCTTATAAAATGGTGTTCCTAATAAATCATTTGCTCTCATTGAACTTATATCCATAAATTCGCTTTTCATGATCGCGTGGCCGAAAACTCTTTTAGATTTTGGGATATTAAATATAATATTAACCTCGATTGCGTTCTGATATAACACGTAATCCTCTTTAGTAAATCGACACAAATAATAATACAGAAAACTTACAGCAAACAAAAAGTTAAGGGTGACTGCCCTGCTTGGGGGGATCGACCAATACTGAATTTGCTGAGATAATACAATATCTTCCGGTCTCGCAGGTTGCATGATAATGTAATAAATAGAAGCATGACCCACTCGAGAAAATATTTTGTCCAGAAAATAGATATGCTGCTTATTTAGGTTTACTCGTTTTAAATGCTGGCCAGTGGCAACAGCTTTCGGGTGATATCTTGCAAGCACACTGCTGTTTTCTTTACTTTTGTAGCTTTGAGTTAAATCGTACGCGGGTAAATCTTGGGCTTCTCGATAGTATTTACGGGTTTGCACGATGCCATGACGTTCTGGATAACAGAGGTCGTTTTTAGATACAATTCGTCTTTGAAGTTGTTTGGAGAGTGGTTTAACTGATTTACTATACATGTCATCTTCTATTTCTATTTCTTCCTTCTAAAAAAGTAAATGATTTGCGTCAATATGACTGAATCATCGTTTATAAAAAGAGATACTTGCATTACTAGGTCTGCAATAAATAGTACATCCATCGATAGCTGGGGGTGGGTTAATAAAGGAAGGTCTCATAAACATGTATTGACTTACCAGTCCTGTCATATTTTCTGACAGCTCGCATCATGTTATCATAATCTTTGTAAGCAATATACGCACGTCTTTGTGATCTAAAGTACCTTACAAACTATACAAAGTTAGTTGTTTTTTTTAGAACTTGCTATTATATTTCTTTCTACTGTTTTTTGTAGATACCACAATGTTGCAATCATAAAAATGATCAATGAGCTTTGCATAGTTTACTCTATTTTTGTCAATCCCTGTCACCTTGATGAGAGAATGTCGACGAATAATGTTTTCAAAAATGAATGGATTGCTTTGCAATCTATCCAAGTTTTGATATCCGCGATGTAAATACTCCCAATATTGAGCACTCTCATCGCGAGTAGAGTCAGACGAATGTATAAAATTACTGTTGGTTCCGTATTGTTGTGTAGCTAACTTGTTCCAAGTTAAAGTTGAGTTTTCATGGACACCCGACGGGATGCGGTGGTCGATCACCCAAGATCGATACCGAGGTGTTGATAAACCTGCATCCACATTCTGTACGTGGGTTCCTAATGTGTCTGTTTTGGTGGTTGCTAACGGATACGGTTGTGTAGATATGCTAGATTCTATATTAGTATTGACTGGGGATGCCTCCAAAGGAGAATCAGAAACTGTTGGAACCGATGTAGAAGCACTTTGGGTGTCTGAGAGCGTTGATTGTAACTGGAAAGTGCTGGTCTTTTCTGTATGATTGATCATTGAGCTATCTTTTTCTGAAGAACATACAGAATTACATGGATGGATGTATGGATGGTAGGATGACGGAGCAGACTGGCTATACGTGCTATTAGATGTGTGTTCATAAGAGTCTAAGGATCGCATTTTCTGACTGCGAAGATAATCATTATCATTGACAACCACACTTTGAGAAAGCCCACAAGGAGTATTGTTGTTTGGTACATAATATCGAACTTTAATTTCTGGAGAGGGGGACGGATCGTATGAAGAAGAGGCTAAATCATCTATTTGGAAAATAGTCTCATCTTCATAAACAACGTCTTCTTCGTCTCCTTCAACAATGGTCTCTCCATGTTCATCTGAATACATGACAATATTTAGATAAGAGGATGATGAAGTTAGGACCATTGTAAAAATATTAATTGAGTGAAAGGGGGACTTTTTTTTTTGGAAACAAAAATATTTTTTTTTATAAAAAAAAAAGAGGGGGGGGACAGTAATGATGGCAGACAAGCAAAAAAAAAATCATATTTTTCATGTAATACTACGAAATTTATGAGTGCCGTCTGATCATATACATGTTTTCTTGACTTTATGCTAGTGCGTTGAATCGATATCACGCCTATTGGTTTGGATGTCAAAAAAAAAAAAAAAAAAAAAAAAACGCGCAAACACGACAAAGACGCGTCGAATGACATGACTCGCATTGTAACTTTATGCAACATAGCAGCCAATCAAAATCGTTAAAAGTTCCGAAATTCATGCTATCTGTTTTTATTGTTCAGGGCTGATCAATAATTAATTAGTGCGGGGGGCAGGAGATGCTTACAAAGAAGTAGGGATATGAGGTTGATAATCTAAAGTGCACATGTTAATTCTTGGCGCATGAGTCAAAAATATTTTTTTTTTTCATCTTCTTACCCAATTCATTTACAAGAGTGTTGTTACGTATGCATGCTCCAATCCAATCTACTGTAACAAAACGAGGTAATTCCTGCCTATGAAAGGCTTCCTTCAACTTTTTAAAGCGGGAAAGATCTTTTGCATTCATGATCACATGCGTTACATCTCGATTTAAAGTCGATTTCGTTACGAGCCCCAACTCAAACTCATACTGGTCCTGTCCTAATCTAGACTCTTCCTGAATTCGCTTCCATTTAACCCAGTCCATGGTGAGTGGTACTGGGGGTTCCCTCTCTATATCGTAATCAAAGTATGCTACCGTGTGAATAAATGGCATACCATCTGTAGGTGTAGGAAAGTATGTATCCACAATCTCCTGTGTGCTTTTACGACGATCCAACGTCTTTTCATCTTTACCTATCTTTTCAAGCAGCTTCCATTTATTTATTTGTGAGTGTTTAGTCATATAATTCTTGTTGTTTGTTTTATTACCTCTTTCATACTATCCTCATCAATGAATTTAGTGTAATGATCTCCATATTCATCCATGTGTTTCAAGAACTCTTTTCGAGTTGCATCCAGTGTGACAAACATGTATTTAGGCTCTAAAGGAATGATGTCCTGTAATTGGATACAATCAAGAATGTATTGGGCTCGAACAACGTCCCATAGCTTCTCCTTTTTAAACACTTGAAGACGAAATGGAATTTCATCTACGCATTTAAATATGAGTCGAAATATACAAATAATGGAGTTTTATTTTTTTTTTTACCTTCATCACTGCCAATTACAATTGCATTCCCCAATTTATTTTGGATAAATTTTCCACCGTGTATATGAATAAGCCTTTCAAGATCATGTTTGTGGTACTTTTTGTTACCGTTCATGACATCTATATAGTAATAACTTTTTTTTTTAGAGGGTAGCTTTGTCATCAAACAATAATACGTACAGAATGTCATGTTTTCAAATAAAGAAGTTTCTACTGGCACACCTGTTGTATCGAAACCTTGTTGACTACCTAAAATGCTATATTTCTAACAGCATTGCATTCTAAATAAGTACACTATCGTTACATTGTGCTAAAAAGAGCCTACTATGCGAGTTCCCTTCTTTTTGTTTCCAACACTATATTAATTTTTTTAAGAGAGGTTTTTAGTTGCTAAACAAAACCAGGGTATTGTAAATAACTCTTACACTTCCTCTTGAGGGCCTCTCTTTTGGCCCCGTCGTCCTTCAAGTTTTGCCTTGTTGAATTCAGAAAGCGTCATAATATCCTTCCAGTCTTTGTCAGGTCTGAATCTGACCATTCGAGGAAAACGGAGTGTGTGTTGCAAACCAAATTGGACTAGAAAACGTTACTTTAAGATCGAGTAGTGAGTACTTGTTTTTAACTTACGAGATTGGATAATTTCAGTTCCTTTAATTTCGACAACAATGGCACTAAAGAGCATGGTAAATATTGAGCAAGTAGCCACGTCTAATTATTTTTTCATACAAAAGAAAGCTTACTCTTCATAATGAATCAATTTGTCAGGTCTTTCATTGGAGTTGGATGGATGATCAAGCCAGGTTGGTATTTTATTTGGATTGTAGTTTTCCAAGGTTTTTGCCAGATTCCTATGTAAAGAAGAGAAAGTTTGAGATTTTTTCTTTTCAATAGTTCTTTATATACAGTATTACTTAAAAGTAGTAACATCTGCATCTGTCAATCCAGAGTGAACCATAGCAAATGATATAAATCTAGTACAACAAAATATCAGTCATTTTTAAATAAAAGATTTGGTATTAGTGCTTACTTTGGAGGTTCCTCTAGGGGTATCGTATCATCCCTCACTGCACATAATAACTGTCTTAAGATTCCACCGTATTTTCCACTTCCATACTTTGATCCTATAAATTTGTTGGCCCTTGGATGAAATCTATATCTTTCTAGTAACTTACCAACCACAATTAGATCACAATTTTCAGACATGGCATCAATGTATTCCGGCTTAAATTTAATCCATGTGGGCAGTCTTGAATTGAGTATGTATTTTGAACTAGGGTCTTTAATCACCAAGCCTTCCTCCCTATTATAAAGTCTTAGCAATGAACTCTTTTTAATCGCAGAAAGAAGGATATTTACTGATTTTTGACAGCTTCATCTAATTTTTCCATAATTTCTTCCTGTGTGTTTAATTCTACACGAGGGATGAGTTTCATATGATGCTTTTGGTTCTTCACTGCAATGTCTAAAAGGGCCAGGCGTTCTTTTAGCGTATTGTTGATTAACGATCTGCCACTATAATAGAGAATATCAAACACCACATCTAGTAAAATATATTGAACACAATCAAGTCAGGTATTGTTTTTTCAAAAATAGAAAGAAAAATAAAAACTTACAGCAAGGGTGAGGTTTAGTTGGGTCGTTGATATCAACATTCACATCCACGGACTCAACTACTTCTCCACCGTCGTTGACAGATGTTGACTTCAATGTACCAAATGGTAGAAACCCATTGACACTAGGATCGTATGCAATCATTTCGCCATCCAAGATAATACTATAACGATAGTTTAATAGGATATTACTTTTTTTTGTATCATGTCAATGTATACCTTTTGTTGGGTAGTCCTCCCGCGATATGACCTGACAATTTGTTTTTATCTTTGGATGAACTACCATATCGCCTTGAGTTATCATTTTTCCGTCTATTATAAAACAAGTCAGAGAATAATTTTTATCTCTTTTTGATTAAATACTATACCTGGTAAACCACATAAATTTATCAAGTTCAGGATCGTAATGCATCAACATACGCTCACCATCCAATTTCTGCTCCGCATAAAAAGGTTTGGAGAGCTTGGCTATACTCGCTTCTACATTGGAAGAAGTGCATTTGAAGCCGCATTGAGGAAGACAAGGAGAAAACAATCGAACGCCCTATTGTATACATTAGCCGGGAAAATAAGGCAAAACTTTTGAACTATAATACTCACACCAAAGCTAGATAGCTCACTATGTGGATTCTCAATGGATCGACAAAGTTCGATTAAAGATCTACCCGCGTCATATAAATCTTTGGCGTTGGGATGCAATACGCCAAGAATAGATACCTCGCTCATACCAATTCTTAGATCTGTATACTCATCACATTAGTAATATCTCTTATGGAATATCTATAGCACGTTACCTTTCAAAATAATTCGAATAATCCATTGTATTTGATGCGGTGTATATAGGTCCATCATTTCCTTAAATATCTTGACGTTTTTAGCATTACCGCTCTCTTCCTGTGTATCAGATGTATCTTCGCTGGTTGATAGTACATCCAGTATTCGATTGACATCTTTGACAGTTTGTGACGAATGCTGCACAAGTGATCTACGAGACACCACATCAAAAACAGCTAAATGAAAGACACCGGAAGGTCGCTTTATTTATATTTTTTCGAAAAAAGTAAGTATATAAAAGGAAAACGTTAAAGAAGCCGCTGCTTACAGTAGCCTGAGGACGCTTATAGTTTTTCAGATATTCTCCATCAGGAGAACTGGGAGCGATTGACAAAGCTTTAAGAATGAGATTGGCGAGCGTTGCTTCCTTCAAATTGTACATTCGATGGCAATACTATTGAAATAAAAGTCAAAGGTCTGGTAATTTCTCTTGCTGATATATTTTTATTACAACTGGCATTAATAACCTCAAAGGGTCATAACAATTAGGACCATATTCTCGTCTCCATTCTTGCATGTAGTTTGCAAAGATACGCTTTTTTGCCGTTACGCCTTTTGCTGCTGCTACTGGGTCAAGTAAAGACGCACAAAATCGTTCGAATAACTGGGATCGTTGTGATTCCACCATATTGACAACAAATAATTAAGAGAGAGAAAAGGAAAGGGGGATTTGTGATTTCGCATTAAACTTTATAAAATCCATTCCCCGCTTAAAATAGAACAGAACTTTCTTTTAAACTACTAGATTTTTAATGCGAGAAAAAAAGAAAAAAAAATTGAACTGGGAGTAAAGGACAGTTTTACACAGACTTAATAGAAAGTGGTAGGTCTCTTGGCGACGAAGAGAGCACGATGCTTCTTCTCGACGTTGGCAAGACGATGGGGCAAGGGGAAAGCGAGCTTGGGGGTCAAAAGTTGCTTGATGTAAGCACGACGAACGTCAGCATCCTTGACTTCAGCGACACGGATGATTTGAACAGATCTGAAACGAGCACGGTGACGAGCAGCCATGTCTTGGTCTATGTATAACACAATTAATTTCAAACACACAGTGACAAGCTCTTTCATCTACTTACAACAGGTCTCAACGGCTTCAACACGACGCATGGCACGGTATTCCTTGTACATGTTGTGGGTACCGGAACGAGAATCGTAACGGATCCAGACACCGAAGTTCTTGACTTGTTCGGGACGCTTCTCGCTAATCTAAATGAACACGTTTATGTTTAGCATGTATTCTATCTTCAATTCCAATGCTTTTGTGTATACGTACAAGGTTAACGGAAACAATCTCACCAGCAGCCTTCTTGACCTTACGGAGCTTCTTTAAGAAGTACCAGAAACGGGACTTGGCAACAACTGAGTTGGGAGCGAAAATACGCATACGGAAAAGCTTAGGAGCAACCTCCTGGGCGGAAGGGAGTTTACGACCAACCACCTAACTGTACCTTTAGTAAAACTAGTTCCAAAATTATAAAAAACATTAAACCTATGCATACCTGATATTCGTGGAACTGAAAGTAAGAAAATAAAAATAAAATCAAGGGTTAATGCCAAATTCAATACTATTGGTGAATCCACATGTCGAACGTAGCTCCTTCCTCTTTAGACAATAATAATAAAATAAAAAAAAAAAAAAAAAAAAAAAAAGCCAAAGTGTCAATCTAAAATCGTCGTTTAATTTGTGAATAGTTGCGAGGGGTCGATATAGATGTATGTGCTGATATGAAACGGATGGATGGATGGATGGATTATGCAATCAACGTCCATAAGTATTTCGTAAAAATTGTTGGATTGACTGGCTTCTTTGTCGTCATTTTTTTGTCGTTTGGTAAAGGAGCTATCTTCAATCATGTGTAGTTTCAAAAAACTTACTCTAGCCATCGTGCCTATAAAGAAAGAGAGAGGGAGACTTACACCTTTGGTTATTCGACAATCCTATTTTGCTTGTTCCCCCCCCCCCTCTCTCACAGTGCAATCTTGCCACCAAGCATGAATTCTCCCCCCACACATCACCTCGTGCCAAATGTCCGGTCCGGACAGTTTTATTATACCGGCACACATTCTTTCTCGAACTTTTTTTTTCTTTTGCTGTAACTTTTTTTTTTTTTTCTTGAATATGAATAAATCAAAAGGAAATGGAGCTGGTGGACCTTACATGCGTTTGTCCCGATCCATCGAAAACAAAATATTAAACTGTCTTGATCTTTACAAATCCGAAGGGCATAAAGACATGTCTGTCTATGCGATCCAGGAATATTCACTTAAAGTCGATTCGTCTTTGCGTCGTATGAAGAGACGTCAGTTGGAAATGGTGATTGAAAAAGTACTTTCTGATCTGCAAGCCATTCCAGCTCAAGATCCTGCAAAGTAAGTGCTTATCTTCTTTTACACGTGTATAACCTTGTCACTCAAAGAAAACCTTCAAAAAGCATCGAATCAGAGGATGAAGAGGCTGCAGCAGAGTATGCTATGGTGAGTGAGACACCACAATCCTGGTTGAAAGAATATCTACCGCCTGGATCATTATTTAACACTAACATTTCTAATAATAAAAAGCCAGCACAAGAGGATAATGCAATGAATAAATCTGTCACCAGTTTGTGGAACATGCATAAAAGTCCTGCTGTAAGTGGCACAGCATCACCCGCTGGATCAGCTACTCCTTTAGATGTCGCCACACCTGTCGAGGAAGATGTACCTTTTATCCCAGTTACACCTGCACCCGAAGCAACAACTCCCGTCGCAGAAGCTACCAAATCAAAAAAGAGATCAAAAAATGTTAAAGAGGCTTCTTCAGCAAAGCGCCCTAAAAGTAAGGAAAGATACAGAATCGAGCTCTTTTTTTTTACTCATAGATTTTATTAGCTACATCTGAAAGCAGAGAGGCACCTTTCATCCCTACAGCTAGATTATCTGACTTGGGTGGTATCGACCATTGTATCGAGGAAATTATGGAGTTGATTGCTATGCCTTTAGCTCACCCCGAAGTCTATCTTCATACAGGTGTCCAACCTCCTCGCGGTGTTTTATTACATGGTCCTCCTGGCTGTGGTAAAACCCGTTTGGCACATGCTATTGCTGGTGAATTGGGCGTCCCCTTTTACAATATCTCCGCCCCTTCTATCGTATCCGGTATGTCCGGTGAATCTGAAAAAAAGATTCGTGAAGTCTTTGAAGAAGCTAGAGTAAGCACGGTAAGAAAGGAAATGTCTGAACATGTTAACTGAACAATCAGTTAGGATAATGCACCTTGTTTATTATTCATTGATGAAATCGATGCTATTACGCCTAAAAGAGAAACTGCTCAAAGAGAGATGGAACGTAGAATTGTTGCCCAATTATTGACTTGCATGGATGGTAATAACAAAAACTAAAATTGGTAACGACATGCCTTTATGATTAATTTTTCTTTTCTTTTAAAAAGACTTATCATGGGACAAGTCTGATAATAAGCCTGTTATGATCATTGGTGCCACTAACAGACCTGATTCACTGGATGCTGCACTTAGACGTGCTGGTAGATTTGATCGAGAAATTAGTATGGGTGTGCCAGATGAAAAGGCTAGAGAAAAGTAAGCAACGAGATTTTAAAGTGATAAGAAAAGTCGAGTTACTAACCTGTTATGTATCTCCAAGAATTCTCACAGTGTTGGCATCTAAGCTTCGTCTCTCTGGTGATTTCGATTTCGCTGAATTAGCAAAGGCTACGCCTGGTTATGTAGGTGCGGATCTTCAAGCCTTGATCACAACAGCCGGTGTAATTGCTGTCAAGCGAATTTTTAAACATTTACAAGAAATTGCAGCCGCCACACAAGCTGCTGAAAAAAACCTTATCACTGAAGTGAAAGAAATTGAGATCAACGAGTCTATGGACGTTGACGACGAAGAAGATACCACTACAAAGACTGAGACAGAGATCGTGACAGAGACAGTATCAGAGACAGTAATCACTGAAGGGGATGAGATGGAAACTACACCTGTCGAATCTACTGTGGAAGCTGTGGAAGAGGTACAACCTATTCAAACCACCACTGTTGAAGAATTTGAAGCACAAACCCCACTCGAACAAATCCGAAATATCTCCGAATTTATCAAATCACACAAGGCACCTTTATCAGAAGCACAATTACAATCACTTGCGATTACACAGGAAGATTTTGTACATTCTTTAAAGAAGGTTCAACCCTCATCAAAGCGTGAAGGTTTTGCTACTGTGCCTGATGTGTCTTGGGATGATATTGGTGCACTTCAATATGTGCGTGATGAATTACGTATGGCTGTTGTCGAGCCTATCAATCACCCCGAGTTCTTTGAGCGTGTGGGTATCACCAACCCTGCTGGTGTATTACTTTGGGGTCCACCTGGTTGTGGTAAAACTCTCTTAGCAAAGGCTGTTGCCAATGAAAGTAATACCAATTTTATCTCTGTGAAGGGTCCTGAACTTTTAAACAAATATGTGGGTGAGAGTGAACGTGGTGTACGTCAAGTATTTGCCCGTGCTCGTGCATCCTCGCCTTGTGTTATTTTCTTTGATGAATTAGATGCCTTATGTTCTCGTCGTGATGACCAACAAAGTGACGCCTCTGCTCGTGTTGTGAATACCTTGTTGACTGAATTGGATGGTGTAGAGAATCGTAGTCAAGTCTATGTTATTGCTGCTACCAATCGTCCTGATATGATTGATCCTGCTATGCTCCGTCCTGGTCGTCTGGATAAGCTTTTATATGTCGAACTTCCTACTCCTGGAGAAAGATTTGATATCTTGACAAAGTTGAGTAGCAAGACACCACTTGGCTCTGATGTCGATTTGCAGGAAGTCGCTAACGATGCTCGTTGTGAAGGTTTCTCTGGTGCGGATCTTGCCTCTCTTGTAAGAGAAAGTGCCGTTGCCTCTTTAAGAGCAAAGTTCTATTCTACAGGTGTTATGGACTTGAACGCGAGATCTTCTGCCGAGGATATCTTTGTTACGAAGAAAGATTTTGATATGGCATTTACAAAGGTGTCACCCTCTGTTTTGCCACAAGATAAGCTCAGTTTCGATAAACTTAGAAAGAAGTACGGATAAATTTTATTACTTTTCTTTCGCCTCTTAGACATATTCCATCCCCCCTCCCCTTTCTTCTTTATCTTTTCTCGTCATATCTGCCTTATTTTGCATTAAATCAATAAATCAAATCAATTAAGCTCTACCTTTACGAATTCATGAGCCATCTGCAAATGATTTCTTTTAATTGTGTCATGTGCCTGTTACAGAATGACCTGTCCAGGCTATTGACACGGATACACAAGTTTCCTTTTTTGAATATTTTTTTTTTAAAAAACCAAGTGATGCATTCTACCTTATAAAAAATGGTTTGCTTACGAAGCCGACTTAATGTTTATTATTCAATTTGACATAATATGTAAAGTGGATAAGTGTATTTGAAATATGGTTATAACATGCTTGAGTAGCTAAAGAACTCTGTAGAAGGTGTAAATAAATTTGGTGAAACACCCGGTAATACATAATGACGATTCCATGTATAAAAATTTGTTATTAACCCGGATAAACCGGGCATGCACTTTTTATTATCTTTTTGACCTTTTTTCGCTTTTGCGAGATGCAGCTACGTCAATTAATACATTCCATAGCATGATTTAAAAAAAAGTTCTTGTCTTTATGTTTTTTGTAGACAATTCTAACAGAAATGGACGTACTGTCAGGATAAATATCTGCCGTGCATGTTGACGGAGCACAAAAATGTTGCACACACCACTCTTCACATGTGTCGTACAAACTATTTTACTTGAGAAATACAGGGAAATATTTAACCGATTGCCAAAGTTTTTTTTGTTACGCGGGTAATTGTATGCAATGTAAACTGGTTAATGATACTTGTAGAATTCAGTTGCAATAAGTCTACCCAAGGCACAATATAATTTTAATTTAAAATGAAAAACAGAAAAAAGGCACTAGTTTATTACAGAAATAGTTTGTGTGTGTGTTTTTTTTTTACTTGATATATGCTCAACGTCACACATATATGCGATTGCACTGCAACCTATTTTATTAAGTACCAAGAAGATACATAATAACAAAGGGTGTTATTACATCTACCTCACAAGGTAGTAGGTTTGCTTCAAATTTCATGGATTTCTTAAAAAATCAAATTTTCGGTAAATTAAATTAAGGTTAAAAAAAATATTTCATTGTTCGACATGTCTGCCTCTCTTTTCTATTTCAAGCACCGGTTTGTTTTGGTATGGAGACAGAGGAACTGTTACCCCATTTCTCAATTTATCTTTATTTCTTTTTCATTTCTTATTTTTCTCTTTCTTTTCTCTTTTTTGTACATATATCCTCATACCGTCACCAAATAAGAAAAAATGACGGAAAAGTCTTTACTTACGGGGAAGACAGAGCCTGTAATTGTTACAAAGGTTTGTACTGTGAGAAACTAAACGTCGCGTGTTTATTTAATAAAACTATAATAGATTGGTGCAAAGTATGTTGCTTACTCGCATACAATATGTGCCTACAGTGAGTCTTAGTTTTGTTATTATTATTATTATTTTTGGAATGGAGGTCAATGGCGAAACACTGACACTTTTTTCTTTTGTTGTACTTAGGTGCATTTTTCGTTGCACTTGGGGTTGCTTGTTATACACATTATTACAAAATCGTACAAAATGAATACTTTGGATATCCAGATGTAAGTATTAGGACAGGTAATTGCATTAAAGAGAGGGAAATGTAATCTAATCATTGTTACGGGATGATAGGAATGGTTTCCTAGTGTAAGTGCTACAACGGGTGATAGATACCCTGCCAGGGCACTTTTTCAAATTTTGATTGCCTTGACTTCTGGACCTAGATTTGCACTTGTATTTTTATGGTACCTTTACATCACAAAATCAGCAAAGACATCATCAAAAGGATTTGGATTGTTTTTATTAACTGTGGGTATTGTTCGTACAGTGGCTTGTGGTGGTTGGGTCTATATCACTTCTACAGACGACCATTTAACTCATGATATTGCAATGGTACTTTATCTGTTATGCACGTTACCTTGGCAATTGGGTGTGTTATATTCAAGCTCAAAGGAAAACGAGACTGCTGTTAAGTGGAGAAAATTATTGACATCTGCTTTCTTTACTACTTTGCCTCCAATGATTTATTTCTTTATACAACACAAGGTTCAAAAGATTCCAGGAGGTAAGTCCCTCTTAACCCCCAGGGGGGGCTCGTTTAATAATCACCGTCTAATTTTGCTGATTTTTTTATTTGGTCAGCTTACACAACATATGCATTTTTTGAATGGTCATTAATCATCTATGACGTTGCTTTTGATGCAGTAAGTGCAATTGAATTTCAAAACTTTGAATTCTCTGTCGCGGATAAGACGGGTAATTCTTCAGCTCAAGAATCGTAAGTTTTGATTTTATTGTAACTCAAATAATTCGGGAACCTAATTTTTACCTATTTTTAATTAGCACGGTGCCGTTTGCCTCAAAGTAAGTTTCCTTTCTTTCTTAATTTCGTTGCCCTCTTTTTTTTTATTATTATTCTTCTTCTTCTTTGCACAAACTTGTTTGTTTTGAGTGACAAAAAGATATGGGTACCGATACTGATACAGAATTAAAAATTAATAGTGTCGAGTCAAGCATCTCACCATCCACAATGCGTGCACTGACATCGTTCGCAGGCTTTGCATCTGAGACTTATTTAGGTAATATCAATCGGCCCTTCCCAATGCAAACAATCATCTTATTAAATCTTTTCTAGCCTTTGTATTTTGGTCAATGCTTACATCATTAACATTACTAATTTGGTACTTCCCCTTATGGTATATGGGAATCTCTGGTTTTGAAGCATTTCTTCTTATCACATTGTTACCCATTATTCTCGGCATTGCACCTTTGAGACGTTTATTTGCCAGATACCGCGGTGTCTTTCATCTGATATCTTTAGTAGGTGTTGCTTCTTATTTAAAAGCAGACCCTATCTGGCGTTTATCAATGACCGCATTTGGTATTGGAATCAGTTTATGTACTTGGACAGCCACATGGATTGAATCTAATCAGCATACTGGCAACTTGGAACGTTCCGCCATCATCTGGATTCTCGGTCTTATTTTAACCAACGTTGTCAAGATGGCCTGGTTTACAGAAAACCCAATCTGGCCTATTATGCATAAAGAAAATGGCGGCTTAAACGATATTGGTATTTTCTTGGGCGTTATTGCTTCAGTAGAGGTTCTCATTCGTGATAGCACTAGTCGTCGCTCTGGTGAGACTGGTAAATTTGTGAGCTCCATTCAAAAGACTAAACAATTTGGAAGTTCTCTTCTGGCCTCTTCTGGCTTTGGTGCTGTTTTATTTGCTTTGCATTCCATGTTCACTGACTCTTCTACCATTATGCGTTGGACAGTAGATGGATATCCTAACTATGGTCCTGAACCTGTTCCATGGGGTGTCGCAACAATTGCAGCACTTTCTCTTGGTCTTTTAATTGCTCCTTATCGTCGCTTCACAACCAGTTTTGGCTGGTACTTAATCGGCAGTGGTGCTTGCGCCATCTTTTATATCTACTCAGCTTGGACAGCTTTCTATGGTGGTCTTGTCATGGGTACTTATTTCATTTCCATCACACCTGCCATGATTCGTGGTATTTCTACTCAACCTACCTTCAAGACTATGTTATATTCCTTTATGATTTACAATCTCTTATGTTTGGCTCATGTCTGGGTAGTCGCCTACGAATTTGTCCCTGGAGGAGTGTATGCACGTGAGCGTACTGATGTTATTCTTTTCACCCTGATGTGTCTTACTGGTTTGGGTGTTCTGAACGCCAACAGACAAGCCGTGCAGGATGTACAAAAGAAAATGGCTCAGTTCCATGTTTTGCGAAGCGCACGTGCCATGGCTCGTATTTTTGTTGCTGGTTTATTTGCTTTATCTGCACTTGTTGCTTCCAATCGCGTAGCGAATGCAAAGACACCTGTGCCATACACAACTACCGAGAAATCTTTTACAGCTGCTATTTGGACAATTCATTTTGCCTTGGATAATGATATGTGGGCAAGTGAGCATCGTATGCGTGATGCTATTCGTGACTTAGAGTTGGATGTTGTTGGTAAGGTTTATCTAATTATTCAATGAAGTAATAACAACTGACCGTGTGCGGCTGAATAGGTTTACTTGAATCGGACACTATGAGAATTATTATGGGTAACCGTGATTGGGCTCAATCTATTGCTGAAGAGTTAGGTTACTATGTTGATTTCGTAAGTTTTTTTGTAAATGGGTCGACGATACATAAATTGAACACTTTTATTGAATTTAGGGTCCATCGAGTATGAAACATACTTGGGGTTGTTTGATGCTTTCAAAGTTCCCTATTATTAAATCGGAGCATCATCTATTACCTTCTCCTGTCGGAGAACTTGCTTGTGCTATCCATGCTACCTTAGATGTATATGGTCAACCCGTTGATTTCATTGTCAGTCATAACGGGCAAGACGAGAACTACGAGGATAGAATTCAACAAACAACAGAATTGGCACGCATCATGCGTACCAGTCCCAACCCATTTGTTTTCCTTGGCTATGTCGTCACGCAACCACGACAAGAGATCTATCATTTGCTGTTTGATCAAGGAGACATCAGTGATATTGACCCAACGGATTGGGATCGATGGTGCGAATACATTGGTTATCGTGGACTGCGTCGGGTTGCTTATGCTCGTATTAGTCATGGTGGTATTACAGACACTGAAATTCAGTCCGGTAAATTCCAGTTGGTCGATAATCCTAAAGACTTTTGGAAGGCGTCTTATGATCGCATTCATGAATCACAAGTCACTCCTGCATTGCGATACCCATCCATGTTCTACGGTCAAGGTGTGCGTGGTCATCGCTACCATGTATTCAATGAACCTCGCTACTTTTTAAATTAATTCCTCCCATACTTTCACATTCATATATTTTAATACAACAATAAATTAACATAATTTTTATTAATACAAACCTACTCTTCCAATGTTCCTGCATTCTTCTTTCTTTGTTTTTTTGATGGTGTAACAAACATTTTGAGTGTTGATGGGTTTCTTCTCACTCCAGAGTCTGGCCTAAACCGAGATTGAGCTATTTTTTTTTTTTTTTTTTTTTTTTTTTTTTTTGAAACGATCCCTTGTTTTCCAGGTACCTTATCGTTTGAAACAAATATGGAGCGGTCTCACATCGTAACATTCGTTTGTTTATATTGATATTAATATACACATTCTACAACCAACATAAATTATTGTGCCAATAAGCTATAATGGGTTATGTTGATTAAAAGGTATTTTACAGCAACCATTTTTTCAATAATATGACATAATGCACATAAAATCATTGGTAGCAGAAGCACAGATCAATCATGAACGCACGAGCCTTGAACATTATCTTCTCCGATTTTCTACTAAATCAGCCACGTTTGTTTTTTCTCTTTTGTTTAGGGTTTACGGAAAAGCAATGTGTCGTAATCTTTTTTTCTTTTTTTTTTATCGAAAAAAAGCTTAGCGTTTTCACACATAGGTTATTCTATAATATCTTATGACCATCGACTTAGCATTTATCTTTTACAACTCCTGGCTTAAATCACAAGTTACATCTCACATAGTGATATTTATTTTTAGCCCTTCCAATGTCTTGTCATTCCGTTTACTGTGTTATGACAATGTTTATAGCTGTAAAAGGAGTAACTCAGATTTATTCATCATTGCTCATCAATAAACGTTTAGCCTTTTTATCCATACCTTTTGCAAGAGGTATAAACAATAATACGGCTTTTCCTATTTTCAAAATTAACTGCGGGCGTGACACAGTGTTACACGAGGCTATAGCACAACAAACCAAAAGCTTTTTTAATTTTATAAATAGAGATAAAAAAGATACATATTGTTGCTTTTCTCTTTTTTTATCCTTTCTTTTTAATTTCTTTAACACTTTTTCTTTTACTATTTTTTTATTATTGATTACAGAAATAAATTAATAAACATGCCACTTACAATTGATGATGTTGTGACACACTACGTATTATCAAGTCATCCACGTAATCGAGCAATTATCGATATTAAAAATAAGAAGACCGGTGAACTCCGTTTTATCAAAATTAGGCACAGACTTTCTAAATTTTACGCTGTCAGTTTGGTCGACCCAGTAACCTTTGAAGTATGGGCTGAAACACAAGTGAAGAGTGCTTCATCTAGAATAAAACCAATTATTTTACACTTGGATGAAAACAATAAAAACGATACGCCTGTAGAACTGCGTGATTCTTCTCGCATTGGTTTCGAATGGAGTTTTATATGGGAAGGCGAGAAGTACAGATGGTATGTTGTCTCTTTATTTCCTATAAAAACCAGTATATGAATATTAAGATATTCTTTTTCTTTCTAGGGTACGTGAAAGTAGGATGAGCAACTCGTTAGAATGTAGAGCTGTTAGAAAAACTGGTATGTTTGTACATTAAATAGAGTTTCTTTCGAATTATTAAGCTTTATAAACTTCTTAGGTGATATATGTGTAGCACAATACTTGCCGCGTATACTAAAGGATGAATATTTCGGCATATTTTCTTTACTTGGTTATAACATGCTTCGATGCGACCTAACCAAATCCCGCGAACTGGAGCTAATTATACTCATGTCACTAATGACTTTACTTGACAAGTCAGATGACGGAGGTTGGAAAAGAGATCCGATTGGTAAGGGAGTTCAGGACGACGTCGGTAACTATGAGAATGCGAACAGTAATGATAGCAGTAACAACAACAGTACGATTGTGTCACCTACTGTCTATGAAGACCCAATACCGAAAAAAGCTCAGCAGAAGAAACACAAAGTAGAATTAAGTAATGATCAGAAATTGCATTTTATGCTTGAAAAGGATGTCCGACGATCTCAAAAACAAATACAATTTGATCAAAAAAAGCAAAAGCCAATGAGCGCTGGGAATAGTCCTGCTCACACGCCTGATGTTTCGCCACTACCCACTCCATCAGCATCTTCGACTAATGTTACGATTGCATCTCCTCGTTTGACACGTCAGAAATCAGCTTGTAACTTGAATTACTATAAAGGTGCAAATGCCTCAAACGTCGGTGTTGATTCTCCTGAATCTCCTGTATCTCCTGTTGTCCCTGCAAGCAGTGGTACGACTAAGAATGGCAGACTTTCAAAACTTTTCAGTAGCCTATCTCACAAACAAACAAATTCTTCTCCTTCATCACCATCGACAAACACATCACCTGTCGATGCTAAACATACAAGTATTCACACATCCAATGATACTATTAATGCCAGTCAGAACACTTATGCAGACATAAAGTACCAAAAACCAGTATTGCAAAGATCGTTACCACATGAACAGCACTACAGTGAGCAACAGTATGAAAACAGTTACCCTTACTATGATAACCAGCGTAGCTTACCTGTTGGGCAGTATTCTCGTCTTACTAACGAATTCGGTAATTTGGCGATTAACAAAAATCACTATGATAACCCGCCCAGTGTGAGAACCATTCGATGGAATCCGGAGCCTCTTGCACCAATTCAAACGTCAGCTCCTATCGTGAATAGTAGTGGAACAAACAAATATAGCAGCCCGCAACGATCATCCAGACAGCCTGTATATACCTCTCAGCAGATTCATAATCGTAGCAACAGTCAGGATAGAAGAAGACCTCGTGTGCTTGATGAACAAAGGAGAATGTCTGCCTCAGAATATTCATTTGCATATCACCCTCACCAACAACATGCCCAAAGCAGCTATAATTATATGCCTCCGTCGACAAATAAGTACCCGAATAATAATCGATACTCTGCGTCGGAGTACTATACGTATCAGCAACCACCGCAGCAATACGATTACTATCAATAAGGTAGATAGTAGGTGCGTTTCCCTTTTTTAAAAAAAACTATTTGTATATTTTCCATGTGATTATTTCTCTTTGTTTATTTGTTTATAAATATAAATATTCTATATTATCTTGTTGACATCATGGTTTCTTATTGTATGTGCCACAGTATTGAGTTGTTAGTGTTACAAAACAAATATAAATGTTAACAGACTAGTACAATTGTGGTGTAGGCAGAACTATTTGGTCCTGCATATAATTTATTCTAGTTTTACAAAATTATTTTTTTTAAGAAAGGAGCGGGGGATATAAAATGATGTATAAATGTATGCAAATAATAACAAAAACGAATTTTAGCTTAATATGGGTAGGAACTAAAGAATAAAAGCGTTAGTATAATGAAAGCATAGCAGGGAGAGGGATCGACCTACATTTCCAACAATAACACTAGGCAGATCAAATATGTCACGTTTGATGGTAAAGCAGAATGTGCATGGCACAACTCTTTTTGTAGGACTCATCAAAATACACGTACTATATACTGCAGAATCAGTATTGTCAAATGCATGCAATGCATATTTCTCCCAGTATTCAACAGCAGATGGGTTACTCATTAGCTAAAATATTTGCAAATAAGCACCTTAATCTCATATGATCCTTTTACACTTACCTCATATATGTAAGTCTTCTTACCCAGCAGAGTATCCCGAGACCATTGTGTAAGTAAGGAGAACTCTTTTCCTACCAACGTGATTTCACCTGTTCGTCTCCAAACAACTGTAGGTGTTCCTGAATAACTAATCAACTTTTCATATTCTAGTAATGTACGTTGTAAACATTTTTCAGTAAAGATCAAATCGTCCTCTGTCAAATTCATCATGGAAGCTAAAACAGACGGTCTAAATAGCGCCAGCGCTCTACTAATTCTCATTAAATCCTCTCTACCCATTCTATTCATGAACAATTATTAGCCGGAGATTAGGGTCAGAATGTTTAATGTTTGTTACCTTGATTTGACATAATTGATTAGATAATGATACCCTTCCGCGTAGCTGAAAGGCTTGGTTGCACTGGCGTATGCCATTTCGGGAGTAATTATTTGGTTTCTACGTCTGACAGCAGGCCCTACACTTGCAGTAACGGGACTTGCCACTTTTGCGACCACTGCACCATCTCCGAATGCTGATAGAGTTGAGACGCCTGACGGCGTTATTTGTGATGTCCCTATTGTTGAAGATGATATTGATGGGACAGGTCTTTTACTGCTGATATTGTTGCTGCTGTTGTTATTTGTGTTATTATTTGTGTTGTTGTTGTTGTTCACCACACCGTTGTTGTGGTTGGTATTAGTATTAGTGTTATTATTATTAACTGTAGTGGTGTTATTATTATTGTTATTGCTATTAATGTAAGATGAAGTAGGTGTCGTAACAAGATGCGTGGGCGAAGATAAGTATGAGGGTTCTCCACGAATGATACTCAGAGGAGTTGTGACGTTTTCCACGACGGGAGATGGCTGAGACCATATATTATTTAATACATCAGCTGAAGTTTGAACTGGGGAAGAGTTGATCACATTGGTCGGATCTGCTAAAGGAGAACCCAACATGTTGGAAAGTATTGAGTATTCGAGATTCGTGGCATTGGAACCAAAACCGTAATTGTAATTCTCCATGGACATCATTAAATTGTTATTATCATTCGCACTATTATTATTCACCCCTACTATCGCTTGTTAGTATTCTCTTGTTATCCCCGATAAATCCGACCTAAGTTTACCTGTGTCCAAGAAGTTTTGGGACTGAAATGAAGAAGCTTCGGGAACAAATGAGTTCATATTGGGGGTAGACAATGACGGTTGTGGACTATAAGGTAGACTACCATTGCTAGCGGCGTCTAAGTGAGCAAAAGTTAATAATTGAGTTTTCTAAAGGCACCATATCTATACCTTCTATATCCTGCAGATATTTTGCCTTTTTCCTAGCCCCATCTGTGCAAGAAGTGGCTAAATTACGTTTAATACACCGTTGACAAGGTCTTGCTAAAGAGAGAAATAAAATGTGTTAAAATTAAAGTAAAAGTAATAGTCAATTTCAAATTTACAATCATCGCAAGTTAAATGAGCCTAAGGATTGTAATAAAATGTCAGCAGTTAGGAAAATTGTTGATTTGATCAAGATGTACCTTTTGACAATGAATGCAAGCCCTAGCTGCCTTCTTTTTTCGATGGCCATTGTTAAGTTTCGATTGATCAGGTTGCATTTTTGTTTTATTCCCTTTTTTATGTCTAAACTATATAAACATCAAGTTTCATTCTTTTTCAAAAGCAGGAAAAAAAAAGTGTTATCTGCAAAAAGATGTAACTAAGACTTTTTTTCCTTATCCCTGTCTTTTTTAGTTTTTTTATTTTTAAAAATTCGCTTAAAGTTTTAACCTCATGTTGAATAACTGGATACAAAATCTTTTTATTACAATATTGTAAAAGATAAGAATTAATTGAGTAGGTTCTACTGGAGTGTAAATAATATATAGAAATGAGAAAGACTAGGATCATGGGATGGTGTTAAGAAACACCAATGATATGAGTGAATTTAGAGAACATGGGCAATGAGGCCGTTAAGATTGTCCTCGACTGTAAGGCAGTTAAGGATGTTGCTGGCAGTATCCTTAGTTTGAACATTGTTTCCACTGACGTTGGCAAGAGAACGACGACCGAGAACTTTAGCAACAACCCCGTTGAGATTATTAGTAACACGAGCACGATTGCCGATGTTGGAGCCGGTATTATAGGTTTGAACATTGTTACCTTTGACATCGGCTACACCACGACGGGTAACAACGCTACGAGCACAATGGCTGCTACCACTACCACCACCGTTACCACCGTTACCACCATGGCCACCATGGCCACCACCACTAGCAACATCGACATCGGCATTGTTGAGATTATCAGCAACTGTAGCGCCATTGAGAATATTTGAAAGTGTTTTGTCGGCTTGAACATTGTTACCGCTGACATTGATCAAAGCATCATCATCACCTGAACCTCCTGAGATACCTGTGTGAGTATTTTTACCCTCACCTTCATCAAGGACTACAAAAGTAAAAAGGAGTATTGATAAATAGGTTATTATAGAAATGATGATTATATCTTACAGTCGTCGTCGAAGAAACCATCGCCGCCTTTGTGGGGGCTTCCACCACCACAGCTAGAGCTACAACAGCCGTTGTTGCAACGGGCAACAAGATGAGAGTTCGAAGCCTCAGCGACCATATTCTGGGCACCGACAGAGTTTTCGGTGTATACAGAACGAGCAGAGGCAGAAGCCAAAATACTGGCAATAAGACCGAGAGAAAGGAATTTCAATTGCATTTTATGATATATAACTATGATGGTGTATTAGTGCAAAGTAATTTGTATATCGATGTATGTATTAATACCTAATAAGTTGAGTGAATAAAGAATGAATATCTGTTTCGTTTTTTGTAAGAAAAAGTGGGTTTCTTTTATATCAATTATATAAGGGTTAAAAGTTTTACTGACTATAATTAGACTATCTAGAATACGAGAAGAGGGGCTCAAATGCATGATATTTCAAGGATGTCACAATCAAGTTAATAGCTCAAAAGGAAATTCGCAATAAGTACAGGTGGTGTTTTATGGGTCTAACTTTCGGGGCGATCATGCAGTAAAAAGCGGAATTAAGGGGGGCTTTATTTGTATTTTTAAAAAATAATTATCTCGAACCACAACATTGGGAGAAAGCATTCTTTTTTATCATATATAGTTGCATGCTGGTGTGCATTTTCCTAAAAAATAAATAGAAAAAAATTGCTCTTGAGGTCAATAAAAAAATACAGGAGACACTAAAATGTTATAACTTATAAAATTCCAGAGATACTAGCATTTGTTTTCAAGTTTTACCCATGCATCCATGCTAAAGTGCCTCACAATGAAAATTAAGGTCGGTCTTCTCAATGTGTAATAAAAAAAAAATGACAGTCATGTCATTCATTCGTACCCTTATAACTTTGTGGCCTTGTTATGCATGGTGTTTTCAAAGATATTTTATTTCACTTTGTGTTAACAAAGATTTAATATGTACCTACGGTTAATATGAGAGTCTATATATGCACATATTGTAAAGACTACACTTGTCATTATATTGCTGTATCTCGTTAATGTCAATGTTATTAAGTGTTTATTACAATAAGCATTAATATTTGTGTTTAAAAGAAATAACTGTCCGTAAGCAGCATAAAGAAATTTAAAACAGAAGTCAAGAAATTGTGCAGATAGCAAATACTTCGTACTACCACCCTATTAGGTTTGCTTTGATCTACAGTGCAGATTTATCTATAGCGACACATGTTGTATAAGTCAAACCTTTTAAAATGTACGGTAGAGGAATTTTGAATTGAATTATGAGGACAGCAATTGTTGTCTTATACTCCTTTGTTTATAAATCAGAATGGTTTTTTTTTTTATCTATTTTTTTTTTTTTTTACTTGCTCTAAAATATCTAGCTTAACAGTACATTCTTGATTTATACACCTGTTTTGTACTCGCGCAGAATACTGCATGAGTATAGAAAACTATCCTCCTCGTTTTTTTTTTATAAAAAAAAAAGTAGGGAATAATGAAATTGAGCCGGTCGTGTGACACATGAATGTGAGTTTAGTTTGTCGGACCTATTGCTATAACGAATACTTAGCAACGAAAAAAAAAAAAGAGAAAAGAAAAAAAGAACAGGATTAATATATATCAAAGGCTTTGTTAGTCTATAATTAATAGTTAAAACAATTTTCATACTTAAGCTATTGTCCACCATAGTTTTTTCAGGGTTATAATAAGAATAATATAGGCAGATACCCTTAAGGAGAGTTTGCATACTGCTATCTCTTTTGTGTTCCGCTACTCTAGCTATATAGAGAACAAATATATTCAGATCTCAAGCCTGCTGAATTAGATGTCAGTACTAGCCCCTCATTAGTAGCAAGACTTGCTCGCATGCATATACACGATAGGAAGATAACAAATATTATTATGTTTTTTTAGTAATACGATTTTACAGACTTTTTATTATAAGGGTGTCAGTAGTTATTGGGAAGAAGAATATAATTAGATAAGCCTACTATATATTTAGAACTTTATCGAGATGAAAAAGAGCAAAATATGAAGGTGCAGAAGAATAATAAATAAATAGTGTTGATATCAAAAAAGATACTCTGTTTAAAAGGTTGAATCTAAAGCGTCGGCTGCATCTACATCGAGTGATTCTTCAATAGTACCTCTTTTGGCAACATCTGCATCAATACCGTTGGCGTTACCAACTGCATAGAGACCATTGGCAATATTGGTAGCAGTATCCTTGAGTTGAACATTGTTACCGTTAGCATCAACAGTACCACGACGGCTGATTACTTTTGCTACAACACCATTGGCATTGTCAGCAACGATTGCCTTATTAGCAATGTTGGAAATGGTGTCTGCAGCTTGAACGTTGTTTCCATTGGCTTCAATTTCACCACGACGACCGAGGACTTTAGCGATAAGACCATTAAGGTTATTGGCAATGACAGGACGATTAGCTATGTTGGAGATAGTGTCCTTGGTTTGAACATTGTTACCACTTGCTTTGACCAAAGCACGACGAGCAACCTTAGCTTTAACACCATTGGCGTTACCAACAACCTTGGCACAGTTAGCAATGTTGCTGATGGTATCCTTGGTTTGAACATTGTTACCGTTGGCAGAAACTAAACCACGACGAGCAACATCGGCAACGACACCATTGGCATTATCTGCAACGATGGCACCGTTAGCAATATTTTTGACGGTATCCTTGAGTTGAACATTGTTGCCATTAGCGTCGACAGTACCACGTTTCTTTAAACCGAGAACTTTAGCAACGACACCGTTGGCATTACCAGCAACTAAAAGACCATTGCCAATGTTATGGACAGTCTTATCGAGTTGAACATTGTTACCATTGGCTTCAACAGCACTACGACGAGCAACCTTGGCTTTGACACCGTTGGCGTTACCAACAACCTTGGCACAGTTAGCAATGTCGCTGATGGTATCCTTGGTTTGAACATTGTTACCGTTGGCAGAAACTAAACCACGACGAGCAACATCGACATCGGCACCATTGGCATTACCGGCAACGATGGCACCGTTAGCAATATTTTTGACGGTATCCTTGAGTTGAACATTGTTGCCATTAGCGTCAACAGTACCACGCTTCTCTAATTCGGTTTCAACATCAACGTCAGCATCAGCTTCAACTTCAACCTCGGTCTCAACCTCAACATCAGCATCTTCCTCGATGTCTAAATCAGTGTCAACATCAACATCAACATCAGCGGTCTCTTCGACATCGAGCTCTTCTTCAATATCAGCGTCATCAGTGACTGCAAGATCGTCATCAACTTCAACATCCTCAAGGTCAACACCCTCAACATCAACATCGTCGACTTCAACGTCTTCAACATCGATATCGTTTTCGAGCTCGATACCGTGCTCAAGATTATTGCCACCAACATGGAGATCTATGTTAATCAATTATGAGTAAAATTAAATTGAATGGCTACACTGGTACTAACCCTTGTTTCCACCGAGATGACCACCGCCAACAGTATCTTCGCCAGCAACAACAGCATGAACACCGTTAGCATTACCAGCAACCAAAAGACCATTAAGAATGTTTGAAACGGTATCTTGAAGTTGGATGTTGTTACCTGAAACATCGGCAACGCTGGCTGCATCACGAGCGATAAGGTCACCTTCAGAATACAAAGAACGAGCAGAGACGGAAGCCAAGATACTGGCAATAAGACCAAGGGGAACGAATTTCATATGCATTTTTGTTAAGTTTAGAAAATTTGGTATTTGCTAGGGAATATAAAATCTATAAATAACTGTATTAGTATTGGTTGGTATATGTGATAGTAAAATGTTTTAATGTTACTTCTATAAGCTTTCAAATGAAGATTGATAATAATTTACGAAAAGGAAAACCGGGTTTCTTATATACATTTTTTTTTTTTTAAAAAAAAATATATATTCTCATATTCTTAGTAAAAATTAAGGATAGTCTTTTCGTTTAGTTGCAATCGAATTAGAACAAAGAGGAGTGTCATTGAACACATGCTAAACTAAGCAGCTCAGTGGATAAATCATGGACCAAATACAAATTTTCTAGTACAAATGTATGATTCGCAGGTTGATCATGCAGTATGTGGTATAAAACAAAATTGAAGGACAGTTTGCTTTATTTATAATAACAAAGCTTATACTCAATGTGGATAACATTGACAGATGATGACAAAATTTAATTAGTACCTATCATTGGCATTTTTAAAAAAATATTTTTGTTATCTTATCTTTCGAATATTGTTAAGCTTGAAATTATATAAGACATTTCTAAAAATTAGAAATTTGTTAAAAGTTTGCATATATTTTTTTTGTATTCAAGATCGTAGCAAAAGTCACGAATATCTATTTTCAAACATGTACATGAAATACCTTTTGCTATGCACTTTACTATGGTTTGCATACTTTAGACTGTTTTATTCTTGGTATTCACAAAATGGTAGTTTTAAATATTTGTAATTCTGTTTCTATGCAGAACACGTACGCTTATATTAAACACTTGTTAGGAGCGAAAAATAGTAATTTGATTAGGTCACAATAGACAATAAGAATTATACCTTGTTGTTTATTTTTTTCCCCCGTGAGCTCATAAACAAAATTAAGCAGTGAACAGAAAGAAGTATATAAAGCTAATTGACAGTGAAAAAGTGCAAACTATCATCCTTTCAGTGCTTTGTAGATTAATATCCCGCCTCCCTCTTTCTTTTTCTTTTAACGGAATAAATACAGCGATAGAAAGTATATAAATGACAAGGGTGATACTATTACAAGCTCCTTCAGGAGATGGCTGTGCTACTATTTTTGTTTGCGCGCGACGATGTGCACATCCTCAGTCAAGTATAAAATTTTCTAAAACTTTACAGTAATATCTCCCATTTGTGTGGAAAAAATTGTTTGGGCCACAGAATTCAGCTGTTATATTTAAAATTAAAAAAACTATACATAGATAAAAAAGAATATGATAATGATGATGTTCTTCCACTGTCTTAGTATAAATGGATGCTTTAAAAGAAAAAGAAAATAGTTGTAATATTTGAGCATCCTCAGTTTACAGATGTAAAGGATTTTATCAATGACTCGGTAATACAAGGGGTTTACGAGGGATGTCTAATTTTTCAATTTTTCAGCTGTTTCACGAGCACATTCTATAGATTTCCTTTCTTTAGCTACTGCCTAACATATAAAATTATTTCTTAGATTGATACAAACACAAACAAAAATAATTTACATGTACGCAATTTTGAGTGATCCAATTGTTATGTAGATCTTTTTGTCTGTTTATTGTGCATAATCATTACCATGTGACATGCTAATTTGAACCTATCAAAGTCATTCGAACTTTTTTTTTCTGAGTAGTTATTTTTTTTTTTTATTCTAAATTGCATCTTTCCCGAGTTTTGAAATGTTTATTTTAAAAAATCTCGTCTTGCTTTTGAGGGTACACGTAACAAAAGAGCGTAAATTTATCAATATCGTAATATAACAGCCAAAACTTGACTTTCCGATCATAAGCTTAAATCAGTTGATACCAAAGCTGAATCCGGTAAGACCGAGAATTCTAAGGGGAAAAAAATTGAAGCAGAAATCTTTGACTTTACTCTTGCTTTCATAAATTTGTCTACTACTACAAAAAATACAATAATAGTAAGATGCTAAGGATTTTATCCATGGTTTAGAAAGGTTAACTTGAAGAAAATTGTCGGGATAAAAAAAATTCCGAACTGAAATCATAGACGGCCGATCCATCAGATCTTAACTTACTGAAAAGGTGGTTAGACAATCTTAGAATTTCTCCTTAATATTCTCTCTCAAATTAGATTAGCCTCTCTGCGTTCACTATAATTATACTTGAGACATCAGCTGTTTTTCTGCATACAACCCGGTACTAGTCTGCTGAAACTACAAAGAGCTAATTTGGATATTACGAATACTGAAGACATACTCCTTGGCCAAATTAAAATATAGTATATTCCATAGAATACTAATTGAATGCATACACATAATAATACAATCTCAAGTTATATTGTGATATTTCAGCTATAGACTTTTTATTAGATCCATATTAATACGAAAAAAATGAGGTCAAAATGTGTGATATGAAAATGCTAGATGTTAGAGATGAGAAATAATAAGATAATAATGTGATAGACTTATAGAATTATATGTCATGAGTTCAAACTAAACATTATTTAGATAATGCCACCACCGGTAGAAGAACCACCGCCCAAGAGGTCGCCAACAACAGGTAAACCACGACGCATGTTCTTCAACATTTGCTTCTTGTTAGCAGCACTGACTTCGTCCTCACCAAACTCCTCAGGCTCGTCATCTTCATCATCAACAGCACGACGCTTCCATTCGTTCTCGTCAGCCTCATTTTCGTCTTCATCCCATTCGTTCTCATCAGCTTCATTCTCGTCCTCATCCTCTTCATCACCCCAACGACGACGGGCAAGATTGGAGCGACGCTTCCATTCATTCTCATCGGCTTCATTTTCATCCCACTCGTTTTCGTCGACCTCATTTTCATCCTCATCCTCTTCATCACCCCAACGACGGGTGATCTTTTGATCATCTACTGAGCGACGCTTCCATTCATTTTCGTCGACTTCGTTTTCATCAGCTTCGTTTTCATCAGCCTCATTTTCATCGGCTTCATTCTCGTCGGCTTCATTTTCATCAGCTTCGTTTTCATCAGCTTCGTTTTCATCAGCTTCGTTTTCATCAGCCTCATTTTCATCGGCTTCATTCTCATCGGCTTCGTTTTCATCAGCTTCATTTTCATCGGCTTCATTCTCATCGGGTTCATTTTCATTTCCCCAACTACGACGCTTCCATTCGTTCTCGTCAACCTCTTCTTCATCCCATTCATTCTCGTCCTCGTCCCACTCGGCAGCACTTTCATCTTCTTCCCAGCGACGAGCAAGAGAAGCTTCGGTTTCATCAACCTCTTCTTCATCAACCTCTTCTTCATCAACCTCTTCTTCGTCGGCTTCAGCACCACGACGACGCATAGCATGTGAGACACTGCTCTCGTTGACCTCATTTTCATCAGCTTCATTTTCATCAGCTTCATTCTCATCAGCTTCATTTTCGTCAGCCTCGTTCTCATCCTCTTCTTCCTCATCAGGCTCGTTTTCACTACGACGGGTGTTACGACGACGGATAGCATCAGAAATCTTTCTGCGAGAGCTGACATCACGCTTATGGGCAACATTGACACGAGCATGGTTGGCATTATCAGCTACCAAAAGATTGTTGGCAATGTCGTAAGCAGTACGGGAAAGTTGAACATTGTTGCCATTAGCGTCAACAACAGAGGCAGCATTGACAGCTGACATAAGGGCAGCGGCGACTAGACCAAGGGAAGCGAATTTAAGTTGCATTATTGTGTATTATATTATATAAGATATAAATAAAAAGATAATATTATGAAAGAAAAAAAAAGAAAAAAAGAAATGGAATTATCTGGCTACTTTTTATATGATTTTTTTTTTTTGTCGTCGGTTGTAATTAAATAAGAATCACTAGGTATTTGAACAAAGAAACAGATAACATAGCTCCGTAAGGCACTGTACATTATATTTTGATATGCACATAATAAACATTTCTTCCTCTATTATTACCCTTTTTTTCACCCTCTATTATTTCCCCTATTAGGATGTCCCCCTCCCCTTTTTATCAAAATTGTTACAACTACAATGAATGACAAAAAAAAAATGATTGATAACATTTGAAAGCTGACTTTCGAAAAAAAAATAAAATGAAAATAGGAGAGTACCATACACTAGTATGATACTTTTAATATTTCATGTATCGATGGCTCATACTACATAGGGGATCTTCGTTACATGCACTCTCTGTTCTATTGACTGGTGCGCACTTAGTTGTGTTGATAAGCGTTTGGTAGGTTTTAATTTATTTTAAAGATCTATTGTTCCAAACATTACACCTCAATGTAGAGAAAAAAAATGGAGTAGGTAAACACTATGTTGAATTTTATGCGAGTGATGGTCTGTTTTTTTTAAGCAAGACTCAAACGATGATGCCTGCCACATATAACGTGTCTATCGCGCTAATACTGTTTTGTTTATATCTGTAAATTTTTAGATAACAAAGGTCTGTATTTCACATTACTGCAATGACTGAGAAAAAAATTCTTATTTCATCCAGAGATTTGCAATAGTAGTGGGAATTAGCACTGATGATGCATCCTTTTCTTTTTACTTTTTTTAGTTTTGACATATTAGAATGAGTCTCTAAACAAGTTTAGAAGAAGCCTCGTTCTGACAATAACTCTGTATATTGTGTGTGTCAACCTAATTAATGACTGATCAACATGCCTCCGTTTTTTCTTAAGCAAGCTGAATATCTTTCTCAGTCTGTGCTTTTTTTTACTTCAAAAGAAAAACAACAATGCCATTTACCCCCTAAGTTCAGTGATGATCTTTTCTAGCGATCTTGGTACGCCGGCCCTGTTTACTTCCCCTTCTTTTTTATTTGTACACAAATAAAAGAATGGGAATCTTGTCCACTAGGAATAAACAAAATAAAGTTTGCCCACCTCATATTTTATTGGGTCTGCCTAGTTGCATCTATGCAGCTAGTAAAGGTATACATGGTAACGAGACAAATATTATCTAAATAACAGCTGAATATAGTGATGAGTGTCAAATTTTTGTTGTATATACATTCAATAAAACTGGTCGGATTTTGCGCGTGGTCTTTTCCTCTCCTTTTTTTTCTGGTTAATAAATGTACATGTTTATTACCGATGCAGCTACATTACATTTTGTACATAAAGTATGTACCTATTAGTAAAGAAGGAAACGGTGACCTTCTCTACGTAAGAAAAATAACATAAGAAGGTTCCGTTCTTTGGTAATTCTCACATTATATTAGTCAATCGGTGCATTACAATAGAAATTCCGTACCAAATAGTATGCAAAACATTGTATTAAAATAATCGATTTATTATACACGTACATATACGAGAAACCTTACTACTAGGGTTTACTATATACAAGGCTATCCACAAATAACCTGGCTAGATCGCGCTTGTTTTCAAGGTTCGAAACAGCTTTTGGATTTCGAAGAGGCCTAATTTGGCTATCAAAGCAAAATAAAACCATCATTGAGTACATATCCCTTGTATTTTAATTATACACTAGCTTTTTTTTTCTTCTTGTTACTTACGTATTGGTACCTGCATTGCTAAGACGGATCGAACATTATCTTCTATTTGCTGGATCGCATCTGTTTGGAAATAAACCAATATCAACAAAGGCATTTCAGATATCTCGGATTGAAGTACTTGACCAAACACCAAAGATAGTTCTTTCTGTTTGACACATAAAATAGTTAATTTTTTTGTCTAATTTTTTGATGAGGGATGGTACCTGTTTTCTAAGAAATTGATCGGCTGATATTAAGATCAAACAAAGTGAGAGTTGAACCAGTCTAAAAAAATAAAAAGGATATCAGCACATATCACTCTTTAAATTGCGTCATTTTTTTTTTTAATATTAACCTCTCTGTATAAGTCTGACCAAGTACTTTTAATAGTAATAGAACTTCGGAATCCAAAAGTTTGATTCCAAAATAACCAACTATACCTGCTAGCGCTCGCATAGCGGATGCTATTGCTACATGATTTGTTGCAAGATCGGACTATAATAGAAAACCATTAAGATCCCAACATGAAACCATAATATAAGGTACACCTACGGAGTATGACTCTATTTCAGTTATAACTCGTTGTTTCATCTTTATAAAAAGATGCCCACTATTTACGGACTGCGCTAGAAACCAAGTAGATTTTCCGTAGAATATCCCGTTTAAAAACTCGATCTTATTTTGGGGGTCAATACTTGTCATTATCTAATATTAACACCAATTTTACTTACTATGTCTCGACAATAGATAACTGTTAACCTTGTTATAAGATCTGGCAAGATTTGCATCTCGACCAATTTAAATCGAACCATGAAGGCATAATCTGGATATTCCTCGATTATTTTAAAGATCATCTCGCTAAAATAGAAGACCCCGAAGTCAATAATAGACACGCTATTTAAAGAACCATGTACTAACCTTAGTTGCATTGCATATATTGAATTAAGTTTATGGACACATTGCAGTAATTGATCGATAAACTATGGTGAACAAGTCAATCATCCTATTTCTTTAAAACATATCTTAATTTATTGTTTTCTTTTACCTCTTTATACGCAAATTCGTTGTTTTTTGTTAATCCTTTCACTAAATCACATCTTGTCGATATATGAACGAACCCTTCTAATAAATACTAAGGCATATGTAAATATGGAGGTGGATGTTTTATTGTAGATCCTCATTTTACCTTCCAACAAGACTCCGCTCCCTCTTCGATTTCAATATCATCGTATAACTCAATTACTTCAAATACCAATACACCATTTTCTCTTAAAAAGCTATCATTATTCAAAAGTCGTAAATTACCACGAATATTCTTATTGGCCCGTTCCGTTGGCTCATGCTGAACATTGGCTTGAATGTAAAAAAGCTCACAAAGGACTTCACTATCAGCGATCGCAGTGTTAATTTCGTGCCTCGTACATTTCTTTTTAGAGGAAAGTGCTTACAATTTCCAGTCTTGTTGTCCAACTGATTTGAATTGTACCTAACCTAGATCTTAGTATCAAATCGTGGAGGACTAAAGGAGGACATTTTCTTTTTTAAATTATACCAGAGCTTCCTCTAACCCTATCTTTGTCGAGGTTCTTTTAAATTCGAGGAACCTTTGTTTCAGTTGTGATTCCACTTGTGAATTCATGACGTGCAAAGAAAATGTTGTTAGAACTAAGCGCGACTAAGTGATTCAGGCCTGTCTCTCTCTTTTTTTTTTTTTTTTTCTGGACAGAGCTGAGGTTAAAATGAAGACGAAACATTTACCAATGTGTCACAATTACGCCTTGGAGGTGACTTTAGGATACAAAAGGGCAGAATAAACATTCATGTATAAGGTTATCATTCTTTACAAAGAGAAAGATTCAGGGCGGTCCATAAAAATTTTTACTGTGCAAGAGAGAGGCAGAAAGATTGTGGCCAGCATTCACAGGCCACCCTTCGCCCCCTCCTCTCTCACGTTGATATTAGGCATTCCAATCACCGAAGAACGTCATGCAAATGGTGCGGTTAAGGTAATTTTGGAAGAAGTATAACTGCTAAGTATTTCTTTTTTTTTATTGCCTATTGATGAGTAGCAATTATATTCTTTCACCTTTTAAGAACTTTACTGTTCACGTTCTTCAATTTCACCATTCACGGAGGATTGCATGTAACTTTGAGTTTTTACCTTTATCTTTCAGGGCAAAGTATTTCAGAATCCCAGGAAAAAGACCGTTTCATGCATACTTTCCAATAAAGACATTATATGACTTTTTCTCTTTTTTTCTTGAGGAGGTGAAAAAATATACCTGTCGGTTTCATAGCATAAAACAAAAGCACTGCAAAATCAACACTGCGAGAAGCACAATAGTCAACTACAAAGCTTATCAAGCGGTATCTAAAAAAAACCACGAATTTCAATGTTCTTTTCTTGATATTCAACCATGTAAAATCCGCAGTTTACTTTTCCTCTACTTGGGGGAATAAAAAGACACACATTCGGTGCATTTTGCTTTATAATTAGGCTACGGAAAGTGTATCTACTAATCAATTAAAATAGCTGACATACATACATCAGACGATTTTATAACAATAGCATTCGTATTTCTTTCTTTGTCCTGACACAACAGTTGACATATTGTATCTCAATGGTAGATACATGCTGCTCTGGTTTGATTCTATTAGACAAGGTTAATGAAAGTTGGAACTCCCAGCTTTAAAAAAAAGGGGGGTGTGCTCTATCACTTATATTCCTGACTTAGCAGCAAGACCTTATGAGTTTATACTATACGGTGAAATCATATGTATAAAAAAGTACTATGTAAATAGCCCTAGAATATTTTGACATCTATCCAACAGGAGGTCTACCAAGAAAGTTTGTACAGTAAAGCGCCCCCCTCGTCTCTTCCCCTCCAGATAGTCAGTAGACTCCCCAAATGGCGTACTATCTGTCTCTATCTCAATAAAAGTCAACCAATTTAAACAAGATTTAGAGTGGCTAGTTATTAAAGCCTATACGAATGTATAATGCAGCCGTGGCTAGCTTTTCCCTTTTTTAAAATAAAACCATGGAATTAAATTCTGTCTATACACGTTTACTTTATAAAGTTGTCATGTTTCTTTAACTACTCATCTCCTCAAAAACTGAAAATGCTAATTTATGGGGTGTCAAGTATACTAATTAGCATAATTGTTTAAGCAATTTTAGATATTTAGCTTGTTATTTCATAATTAACAGTTTGATTATCATGATAATTGGTCATAAATATAATTGCCCTTAAAAACGCCGATCGTCTGTATAAACCACCCAAACAAATCAATGTGGCAATTATTTTATTCAAGTATGGAACAGTCAAGTATCACATATAAACTCCTTTTATGAACAAAGAATAACCCTTTTGGTCTTAAACTAAACTGGTTCTTTACACACGCCTACTGTCGAGCAATTGTATTACATCAATTTAGGATAATCAAAAAGAGACTGTGAGAGAGAAGGAGGAATGATATATGTAAAGGAGTAGATGAGATGATTAATTTTATTTTGTAAAATAACTTTTTTTTTGTTATAAACAGTTGACGGATTAACTAGTTAGAAAATAGGGTAAACGGGTTTCAGGAAAAAGGAGAAATTTATGTTATTGTTATTGTCAATTTCACTATTCTCCTCATCTCCTGATTGAATTTGTTGTTGCTGTTGTTGTTGTTGTTGTTGTTGTTGTTGTTGTTGTTGTTGTCGTTTGTGATGGTGTATCGCAGTAGCGGTCAAGAGAATGATCAAGAATGCGGTTGCTAATTTATGTTGCTGGGTTGTATTTGGCGTTTTTTTTTTATTATTATTATTCGTGGTGGATAAGAATGTGGATGTGGTATGATCCCTAAAACTAGAGGCACGGGGACGTTGATATGTATTTACAATTGGTTTTGATATGATTGGTTTACAACAAGTGATGGATTCAGATCTTCGTGTTCTTGTCTGGATGTTGTGTCTTGTAGGTACTATCTGTTTCTCAAACTCTCGTAATTCATATAACAATTCCATATTGGGTCGAATTCCAGGCGCCCGTTCCTGAACGTAATCCAAGGCACGATCCAACGACCAGTTTTGTCCCGCCAAACAAGAACTACCGCTACTTGAGATCTTTTTCACAACAACAAGACGACTAGTACATAATAAGAAGGCCACAACCAATGCAGCAGAGCGTTCTATTCCTTGTTGACAATGAATCAGTACGTTCTGTTTCTTACTGTGGGCGGTTTGTATTTTGGAGATGGCGTGAGCAAATTCAGCACGAGCTAGATTGTTTTGACGGTGAGTCCAATGCATGTGATGGTAATCGATTTTTGTGGGTGTGACGAGATGAATTTCACTGGCTACATTGATGATACAGTTGATATTCAATTGATTAAGTTGTGTTACGTTTAATGCGTTATAGTAGGAGCCTAAATACAGGTTTGGTAAGATGCAGGCGGGACCCTTCTGATATAAGTCATTCTTAAACTGATGTTCTTTGTTCATCAATAGCGACGCTGGTTTCTGACTTGTAGAAGAGAGGTTTAATGCCAATCGCTTAGGGTTCTTTTTCAGGTTTGTCATGATGATGTAAATAATAATAAAAAGAGAGAGAGAGAGAGAGGCTAAAATAAAAAATAAATAACAGGGTATTTATAATTAATATGCATGAAGATCATATTAATTTAACAAAAACGATTGTAATTATTCAAACAATTGCCAAAAAAAAAGGGATTGAACCCTTTTTATCTTTTTTAGATTACATGTAATTTATAAAAGTCTCCTAAGATTTCGTTTTCATGTGGACTCCTGTGAATAAACGTGGTATGCATTTGAAACAATAAAGGGAGAACAAAAGAGAATTGTGTATCAAGCGTGTTTTTATTAAATAGAAAAAATATGGAATATTTATTTTTCTGAAGTGATTTAAGCAGAAGCAGCACCGAGGGTGGGGAAAGCGGCAACATCTTGGAGGTTGACAGCGGGACCGTTGTTGGCCTTAGGGGCACGACGACCGTTGGACTTGGTGTTGTTGTTACCACCGCGACCACCACGACGATCGTTGGTAGTCTTACGGAATTCGGGACGAGCCTTCTCCTGGAAGCGCTGTTCGATTTCAACAAGGACCTTTTCCTTCTTGGCCTTTTCGGCAGCCTTCTTGGGGGCCTTGGTTTCCTTGGAGGTATAGAACTCCTCGAAGTCTTCCTTGGCGAAAGCAACGGTACCCTTGAAAGCAGCTTCATCAGCATCGTTGGCCTTACGGGCCTCGGGGAGAGAAACCTTCAAGGACTTGTTGGCCTTTTCAGCGAGGTATTCTTCAAGAGTCTTGACTTGCTCTTCTTCCTCAACGGGGGCAGCAGCAACCTCTTGTTCAGCAGAAGAGGGATCGGCGGAAGCAACGGTATCCTTGGATGCCTCAGCTTCGGCATTTTCAGCCTTACCCCAACCCTTGTTGACCTTCTTCTCAGTGTCACTATTATTTCCAACCGTTTAGATCTCTTTTCCCTTTTACTTCCTCCTTTCAACCCCAGAATTACTTACACAATACCGGTACCGGAGTGACGGTCGAATTGACGACGGGGAGCGCGACCACCTTCCTTGGTTTGACGACCTTCCTTGGGTTGACGCTTGGCGTTGGTACCCTTGGCGGAACGGGCAGCTACCAAAAATTAAAAAAAAAAGTTAATTTCAACATTCGCAAGCTTGTGTCTTTTTATTTCTCTCTTTTTCTCGTTTCAAAGCATTTAATGGTGAAGTAGTGAATCTCGGTCAAAGTCGGCTTATTGTTCAGTTATTTCTTAACCGAGACATTGGCTGGTTACTGAATCTTTTTTTTTTTTTTATATATAATTCATTGTTGATTTGTTGTTGAATTGTTGCATGAGTATGTATGTGTATGTGTGTGTGTGTGTGTGTGTATATATATGTCTTTGTAAAGCGATAACGAGAAAAAAGAGAAAAAAAAAATAGAGTTACAGAGTGACATTTACCATCCTTGTTAATCTTGCCAACGGACTTCTTGTCAACAACGACAGGGGCAGCCTCTTCCTTGACAGGTTGAGGACGAGCGACCTCACCGTCACCGAGGATGTCAAAAAGGTTCTTAGAGTAAGTGGACATATCTATAAAAGAGCTAGTTTGCTATGGATGCCTCGATCGAAAGGATGGATGGATGGATATCACAAAAACACAAAGGGAAGGTTCCTTAAATTACAATGACTGATTCTAAATTTATCGAAAAAAAACCTTTTTTTTTTATTTAACGTTCCGCTTTTGGGGCTGCGCGCGCGTGGGCGGGAAGGCAAGAAAGAAAGAACAATGTTGATAAGAATATCATCACAAAACATAAAACTTATAAATACTCGTCATCTTGATAGACTTTACCTGATATTAGTAGCCAAAATGAAATAAAACAAAACACTCGTAAGAGCACGTTAGTGTAGACATTGCGTCGTAAGAGAGAGGCGTGGTTTTACACACTCCAAGTCATTTTTACTTTCTCTTCCATAAATTCATTGATAGAATCTGTTCTAGCAACTAAGATCGACAAGATCGACACCGTCATTATTTTTACTAGTTTTTTATAATCCGTTACGTCTTTTTTTTTTAGCTAGTGCTTCCACTGTCACTTGTACACATTTTTGGATTCATTTGTCGGAATTCAATTGGACATTTTTGTGGCCTGGCTGACAAGTCTGGGGGGCACTCCGATCACTAACTTTTAATTCTATTGGCCCTGATTTTGAAAAGTAGCCAATAGCTTTACGATTTAGTGTTTCTTCCGATCACTAAGTATGAATCTGATTGGCTAATACGAAAGACATGAAGAGCTTAAAATGGTATTGAGCAGTAAAGATTTATACGATATAAATACAATAGCATAGTATGGTGTCTTATTCTACGTAGATATGCTATTACCTATTTTAAAATTTTGATAAAAGAGTAATTTGAAATGGGTAACACACATACTATAATTTGAGACATGTTATTATTATGTTAGATCTTCTTTTTGTCTACTTTAATAAATATACCAAAAGTGATAGATTTTCTAAACAGGAACAGATTTTTGTCACACATTCACATGTTGAGGTGTCTAACTGGGATGAACAGTATGTTATTTTTATATTGTACCTTTTTCCTGACATTGAATAACTTATAAAACTTGGATCTCATAGCGGGGATTAGTTTTGTTTATATATACAGGGAGTGCAATTTTTTTTTAGAAACTTCTTTCACAGTTAACTCTTTTAAAAATATGGCTAGAACAGGAAGACCACCTGGGAAAAAAAATTCTGTAGGTCATAGCGCCGGTCGACCATCTATCCAAAAAAAAGATGACCCTCGACAAACCACTTTGTTTCAAACTATGAAAAAAATCAATCAAAATGGTGAAAGCTCGAGCCAGGCTGATGAGGTAAAACTGGATTTTTTTTTTGCATGATATTTAAATTATTAACAAAAATTTATAGGCTGTAGTTGAGGAATCAAGTATGCAAGAAAATGAAATAGATATTTCAGACATCCGTGAAGAGCAATTACCTGTTGTAGAAGATCAAAATATTTTTATCACGTTGGATGAAGAAGAAGAACTGAACAACCGTATACTACCTGAAATAGATGACGGTGATGCTGATGAAAGTGTGACTGATGAACAGGAATTCTTGTCGGGCGAGGTTCAAAATGGTGTATTGTACCACTATTTCGAAGAAGTACAAAAACGACTGACAGAAGAAGCAATGCCGGCTGAATACAATAATGGCACTTTTTGGATTCGTCCCATGCAGCCTTTTTTTGCATTATTAAAAAAGAAGCCAGTAGAGTATCTGTATCGCCCAGATATTTTTTTATGGATTCCACATCTGTTATTGAATAATCAGATCAACGATTTGCATTGTCCAACATGCAAGTCATCTATCGAAACCAAAGGGTTTAACAAAAAGCCCCACGCTCGCCGCATTGTTGATCTTGATAGGTCAGTTGAATTTGTGATCCTATTTTTGTAGTTTGAAGTATTGAATTAACCATTGTTGCACTTAATAGATGCTTTTACATCTTGACAAAAAGATACAGGTGTCTGAGTAGTATTTGTGGCAGTACGTTTAATGGATATGATTCCAAAATAATGCGCCAATTGCCCGTTCAATTACAGGCTGAATTTCCGGCCTATCTTAGTCATAGAGGTGCTGTTTCGAAGCAAGTGGGTGATCTTTTAAGGCCATGCATCCAAAACTCCATGGGACCTGAAAGAATATCAAAAGTTTTGCGTGAGCTCCATACATTAAAGCACGATCGCAGTGAGCTGCAATATCTCACTGCTATGAAGGTAGCAATCCCCCCCTCTCTTTTTAATATTTTAATATTAATATCTTTCTGAAGGCTAAATATGGGGATCAAAGCATTACTCGGTTCTTTACTATGCCAACAGTTATCGAGCCGTTTTCGCCTTTTGATAACCAAAAAGGATACGCAGGTTATACGCCTACTCAGACGTATATAAGGACCATTTACACTGCAATCATTAGTAAACTTAGGCCTTACATGGACAAGCAGATGATGCTTCTAGGTGGAAAGGTTTTGAAAGGAGATCATTCTTTTAAAATCATCAAGCACATGGCGAGTATTGATGGAACAAATATGTTCAATGCACTGTACACGATCTGTAACGAGTTTGAAGAGATTAGAATGATGCTGTTAGTACCTTCTAAATCACTTGAGCATCTGAAGTGGTCCTTCCAAAAAATGATGCAAGCATATGAAGGTTATGGTCACGACAGTCCTGTAATTTTTTATACGGACAATGTGCGAGGTGACCGCAAGTTTTTGGAAAATGTCATACCTTCTCTGAAAGTTGGTGTACGTTCAAGAGGCAGTAGAGAGGACGATGGTAACACTGGAGATTCTGAAACTCTTGAATTGCCTGAAAGCATTCAAATTCAATATTTGCGAGGATATGACGAGATTGAAAATGAAATGAAAATTTTACTGGTCGAAAAGTTTCATTTTGTAGAAACCAATGGTGTATTGGAAAGCTGTTCAACATCCGTGGTCACAGGATTTGATTGTGAGTGGCCATACAACATCACCACTAATGTTAAAGGAAAGCTTTCAGTAGTCCAGATTGCCTATGCCTCATCCGTGCTGGTATTACATCTGGATCCTACTTGGAATGTTTTACCATCCTCCCTGATTCACTTTTTAAAATCCCCCGTCATTTTGAAGATTGGACGTCAGGTTGGTGGGGACTTTAAGCAAGTAAAGGATTCCTTCGGCATTGACTGTGAGGGAGCTTTCGAACTTGGAAGGTTTTGCAAGCTGAAGAAGGTTGTGAAGTCTGGTAGGCTGTCTCTTTCGGCCATCTGTAAAGAAGTGATTGGGAGGGGACTGTCTAAAGATTTAAGAATCAGTGACTGGTCGTACTCCCATGAGCTCAGCTCAAGCCAAATTCATTACGCTGCGCTTGACGCATGGGCTTCTTTGGAGATTTATAATGTTATAAACAATATCTGCGAAGAATTGATCAGCACACCAACAGTAGGTCAATATCTATCCTTGTGGTCTCCAATGGGTGTAGCAGGTTATGGAATTGTTGAAGCATCTTCTGGATTTTCAAGCAATGGTATTGTTCAAGTGTCAATTATTCACATTGTTCGTACTAGTTTTGTATTGCCTTCAATAGATGGTCATCAAACAGAAATTATACTGGAATCAATTAAAAATGACCTCCCAAAAACGGTTTCTGTTCACAAGTCACTTTTGCGCAACGATAACAAAAGACATGTTGAACTAGAAATTGTTAAGACAACTACTCCATCAAACGTTTCAAATAATGGTGACATGGATATTACTGGTGATGGGCACGAAGCCGAACATGAAGAAAATAATGTAAGAGTCTCTGCCTTAGACTTTGCTCGGACTTTGTTCGGAGATGATATCGAAGATATTGATAAGGCGAACTTTGAGTATGGATATGGCCAGTTCAAGAATCGTCTCACTGCCTCAATCACTGAATCGACTGAAACAAGGCTTTATACTAGGGTTGTTAAAGATGTCTTCCATCTAATGGATTCCATCAAAATCGGGTCAAAGCATTCTTTAAAACTGGAATTCGTAAAAAATTTCAGAAACTGTTTGTTTATACTAGATGCTGATGACCAAGAAAACGTCTCTGCTGTTTTGTCAAACAAAGGGACAAGTTACGAAGAAAAAATGGCAAAAAATTCTGCTTGGATTTGGAAAAGGGTGAAGCGAACTATACCTCCTCCCCACATTCTGTATACAGGCCTGTACAATTTATTCTTGTCATTTGGTTCCTTGAAATGCGTAAAATCTGGATTACCTCTCTTTGATAAGGTTGCCTGGAAGAGTGCAGTCAATGTCCTTGTGGCTGTGAAAGATGGGCATGTGTCCGATCCTCCGGATTTGTCATTGTACCATGTTCGTGGTAAGGATCGAGATGGGCTAACCTTGTATAGATGTGTTCGTGGTACCAATTCTTTGGAAGGCGGTGTTCATCAGAACATTATAAGAAAGTTTGGATCTTTTGGAGCTGGACCAGAATTGACTGACTGCGCTTTAACAGAATACAGGCTTAGACATAACACTGATGTAATTATTGTATCAAAACATTACTAAAAAACAGTAACTAATTTTTTAATAGGCCGGTACGCTTAACAGACTTGGCTACGAACATAAGGGTCATTATGACCCTTGGCTTAATCAAGTAATCGAAAAACTCCGGGCGAGTTTACATCTCTCAGCTACGCAACAAACTGCATGTATGCCAAACGCCTTGGATTTTTGTGGTTCTGACGAAGTGTTCGGCATTTGCCCTATTTCAAATGATCTGATGGAAACCTTGTGTGTTGAAAAGATCAATACTTTGGCTCCGGGTACAAGCGATCTGATAAATACTGGTGACACATGCTTGTCAGACGTAGCATTATTACTGCTGCCGTCTACAAAGCGTGCAAACAACAGTAGATTTGAATATATCGCATGCAAGCAACATACCAAGTATGCAATCCTTCCTGTTCATACTTCTGAAGAAAAAGCACTCTTTGAAGACATTCTGGTCGATAACTGTCAATCATCAGCAGAGCCAAATTGGAGCCAATTCGCCTCTCGTTGGAACTCATCTGCTGACGGTGTGGCTATATTTTACAAGACGCCAGAACATTTAAAGCTATATTATAACATTTGTCAAGAGAACAAAATTGTTGCTAAAGCCAAAGCAAAGCATAGCACAATTATTCAAAAAGTCAGATCTGTAATTTCAGAAACCATGATTCCGCAATCTGT